TGACAACAATTCTCATCATTGATTAGTTGACTTTCGATTGGTTGCCGCCGCTGTGCTCCTTTCTCCTCCTTGCTGGTGCTGGCTGCAGTGGTCTGTGTCCCTTTCAATCCCCGCTGCTCCCCCCGCCTGTGTCGGCAGAGGCAGCGGGGACAATGACCACTGCAGCCGGCACCAGCGGGGAGGAGAGACCGCTGTGACTGCATTTCCCCGCTGCCCCCTCATACCTCCACTGCTGCCCTGTTCCTCTTCTGTCCCCTTGCCTCCGCAGCTGCCCCCTTCCTCTTCTGCCCTCACGTGCCTCCGCTGCTGCCCCATTCCTTCTTTATTTTTTTATTAAAAAGACTAAAAAAATAAAAAAAAAACAGTTAAATAAAAATGCAAACAAATAAAAAAAAATATAAAGTTAAATATACTTAAATTAAAAATGAATTTAATATTTTAAATAAACAGTTGATTATTTTATTATATTGGCTCAGAGTTTTACAATTCACATTATTTTAAGTCCATGAAACTAATTAAAATGTCATTTTTATAAATATAAATAAAGTGATGCACAGATACCAGTTTTGCGAGTACGAGTACTGGTACTTGCCGAGTACTTACAAGTACGAGTACTGATACATTTTTGTTTATTGTCATGTGACAGTTTTTCTAAAACAATACAGACTAATGATTTCAGGACAGTGGTGGAGTACCAGAGCCAGATCCCAGCTGTAACCGCTGCAACCCTGGTAGTTCTCATGAAAATGCCAAGTATCTGCACTGGTACTCGAAAAGTATCTGTGCATCCCTAATATATATATATATATAGTGTTTTTTTCGATTTATCGGATAAAAAAAAAAAAAAATATCGGCCAACTAAGCGATTATGAAAATAATCGTTAGCTGCAGCCCTAAACCACATGAGCAAATCCAGTGGTAAAAATAAAAAGCTATAGAGTCTATATCCCTTTCGTTGCTGAACCAAAAAAAAAAAAGTAACTTGGCGCAGATTTCTGAGCAAAAACAGCGAAACAAGCAAGAGAGAGAACTGTTCCAGGTTGCGATATTACATAGAAATTGGGATAACAAAATGTCAGAGTTACAATTAGTATGCTATAACATTAAAAAAAACAAGAGTGGTGATTTACCTTGAAAATAGAGGGAAACCCCACTGACGGCCTGCACCATCAAACATACAGTGAGTTCTTGGCATGGCTCTTGCCCTAGAAATACAAAGAAATACGTATTCTTTTTTGACTGTAGATAACCTTTAACCAGGGTTCAGTGAATCCTAAGATCTTTGTGGAATGATTTTGATTACAGGAGTTGTACAGTATATGAAACTGTAAATAGAACTCTCATGATTTCTTGGGGATTTGCGTCTTCATGGAATATGGGGTAAAACAGGTGGATAATTGGATGGTTAGCGGCCATGGTTTTAAAGGAACTGTTTTTTTATTATGCAAATAAAAATATTCTGTAATGATACATATGGCTGTTAATTCTGGTTTCACCTTGGATATATTGGTTTGTTTCACAGATTTGTTGAGTCTGATAAACAGGTTGATTATATTTACCTTTCAAAGGGGTCATTCTTCCCACCAGCCACCCATGTAAGGGGCATTTTTGCAATGGCCACCAGTGTAAGGGGCATTCTTACCACCGGCCACCAACGTAAGGGGCAGTCTTCACATTGGCCACCCATGTAAGGGACATCTCGCTAATGTACCATGAGCTGTGGCTATAGTAATTATTGGCAGGGGTTCCCTAGACCTGAATGTTATATCAAGGGTTGCTCCATGTTAAATAGTTTGAGAAAGGCTGCTTTAGACTGTAATATGTACGGTGAGTTTTATGTTTGCCCTTTACAACTGCTAAGCATCCTAAAGGGAGCTATCATATTTGAGAGTAGCTATTTTATACGTTTTTTTTGGGATAAACTATTTGGATTTTTGAAGTACCGTATATACTCGAGTATAAGCCGTCCCGAATATAAGCCGAGGTACCTAATTTTAGCAAAAAAAACTGGGAAAAAGTATTGACCCGAATATAAGCCGAGGGTGGGAAATGAGGCAGCTACTGGTAGATAGATACCAATAAAATTACATTAATATTTATTTAAAAGAAAAATAACCTAGCTCTGTAAGTGGAAAAGGGGGTACAGGGCTACATATCATGTACTACGGATCATTTAACCCATTCATATTAGCAGAGGATAATTGTAAATCTATTGTTCAGTGCACTCTATATGTAGTATATAGTACATGTACATATAGAGTGCCTATTTGAAGCTTGGTTAATGGAATGTGTTTTATATTCTAGAAATACCTTCCTTTTGCTTGCCTGCTGTGTCTGTATATTTGAACTGTCATTTTTGTTATAGAGCCTTTGGGCAGGGACTTCCTTTCTCATTGTCTTGTGCAGTTTGCTATAGCTTTACACATAACAAGCTGCATCTCCTTCTAGGGTTTGGTTTCCAATTTCTACTTACAGCAAGTGTGAAATAGCACGTGTGCTATAGAAATGTTTTCTATGGTGATGCATACTATATAGTTTTGAATATGGGTAAATAAAATTATTTTAAAGTGAATTTTTTTGAAAACTTGAGCTTATATAAAGCAAAAACAATCTTATCTTTCTTTTGTAAGCTACTAATCCAATCAACTACTGTGTAATGGATATGATTTAAAGAAGGGCAGAAGGAAACTTAACCATTACAGTGGGCTACCACCGCAGTACAAGAGTTTAAGACAATCTTTCCATTTATCTTAAAAATGACAATAAAGGCACCTTTATAAATGTTTAGTAATGTCAATCTACAAACACATACTTATAGATTGCAGGCCTTTTTTTTCTTTGCATATCTTATCTTATTTTTCTTTTCCTCTCCATTCTTCTCACAGTAGCCATTTTTACTAAGGGCAGATTAATATATCTCCTTTTATTTCCTGAATCTCTGGCACATGTGACTAGGACATCATCTTAGGGGTGGAAAATGCCCTTCCCTGAGATCTCATGGGATTACAGATGCGATTTCCCAGCAATGCTATGCTGATGTAACCTTCCCAGGATGCAACTCTTGGGCACATTATATCACTGGTACCCTAGAGCAGTGTTCCCCAACCCCCGGTCCGCGGATCAAATGGTACCGGGCCGCACAGTCTCAGTGCGGTCCGGTCATGCAATATATGGCAGTGCATGGCTCCGGTGTTCGAACACCGGGGCCCCGCACTGCCGACGGGCTTCACAGTGAGGGGGCGGGTCCTGTGACTCACCTCCCCTCCCGGCCGCGTCTATAGTAACAGGCGGCGGGAGGGGAGGTGAGTCACAGGAGACGTGTGTGTGTCACACGCCCCGCCCCGCCCCCTGCAGTGAGTGCACACATCGACACATGGCTGCTGCTCCTGGAAGGGTGAGTCTGAGCGGGGGAAGGGGGGGGTGTCTTACATCATGTCATTAGACGTGGATTATAATGGGGAATATTACACTGTAATGTTCCCTATTATAATCTATTTCTCTGTTGTGTACTGCTATTTTATGTAATTAGACAAGTGGATTATAATGGGGAATATTACACTGTAATGTTCCCTATTATAATCTATTTCTCTGTTATGTACTGCTATTTTATGTAATTAGAAAAGTGGATTATAATGGGGAATATTACACTGTAATGTTCCCTATTATAATCTATTTCTCTGATTAAATGATTACAGGTAGGCATGTGATCTATCAAAGTTTGAGACTACGTTAGAATGTGTGACCAGTGACGTGGTCACACATTTTAACGTAATCTCGCCCAGTTTTTCGGTGGTGGAATAGGTGAAGAATTCCAACGCTTTCATTTTTTGGTGTAACTGTATTTTATTTTGAAGGCATTTTTAAATACAATTAAATTAAAATTATTAAATCAAAACAATCTAAAATATAAACAATCAACGTCCCCCCCTCAGCGGGCCACGGTAAAATTATCAAACGTTGACCGGTCCGCGGCGATAAAAAGGTTGGGGAGCACTGCCCTAGAGGACCAGGAAGTGGAAAAAAAATTATTGTAAGTGAAAGAAACCAGTTGGCTTCTCTCTTCAGTTTGTTCAGTTAAGATTTCACAGCTGCTCCAGTTTTGATAAACCCCCCTCACTGGGTACTGAAATGAGAACGCTGAGGAAGATTCCAATGCTGCTCTGGAGGAGGAGACAGACTGGAGGGAGCGCTGAGACAGCTGGCTCGGAGCTTCAGCTCTGCATGTTATTTTAAAATCATCTATTTTCCACTTCCTGGTCCACTTTGGCACAAATTAATTTGGCCCAAGCATTGTATTCTGGTAAAGTTACATCAGATCATTGCTGGGAAATCTCATCTGTAATCTCAAGGAAAGGCATTTTCCTTCCATGAGATTATGTGCATGGTCACATGTCCTAGTCACATGTACCAGAGTTCCAGGATGTAAAGGGAGATCTATTAATCTGCCCTTAGTTAAAATGGCCACTGTCAGAAGACTGGGGAAGAGAAGAAAAAAAGTATGCAAAAAAAGAAAAAGCCTACAATTATCTAGAAGTATGTGTTTTTAGATTGTCATTACTAAACATTTCTAAAGGTGCCTTTGTTGTTATTAAGATATGGGTAATGTTCTTCTTTAACTCTTGCAGCTCGGGGGTAGCACCACTGCAAGGGTTAATAGATTTTTTTCCTGGAGTTCTTCTTGAGGTAGTTATGAGACCTAATAGTCTCTGTAATTATGGTGATCAACTCATGTTCTCTGCTTCTACTTTTAGAAAATAGGTTTTTCATGACTGTATGTGAGAAGAGGTTTTTCTGTTAGCGTTTCTGTTTAAACTTGATAGCCATCATTTGTGTTATTCCCCATTTATTGTTTAAGTGCCCCCACTTTTCACACTTCTTTACAGCCTATTTTAGTTTTAAATCCTAGATAGAGACATTTGGCTTCAGATTGACATTGGAAGACATTGTGACCTTCTTGTGGAGGAGTTCTAATCTCTGTGCCTTTTTTGTTTCTTTTATAGAAAATGCAGAATCCATTGACCTCAAGCAATTTTTTGAACAAAACTTCTCTCACATCTACTATGTTTTCTTTGAAAACTTTGTGATAATTGAAACGTCTTTGAAACAAAAAGGTAAGGCTGTAAATTGAATGTCCTATTTTTTCAAATAACCTTAATGATCTCTTCACCCTTTTCTTGCTTTCGGCTAAGTTTCTGAAGTGTGCAGGCCGTCCCATGTCAATTGTTTCTGCAATGTGACAGAAGGCATCCTTTTTGTACTGTTTTTGATTAGCATTTTCTGCTATGACAGCCAGTATGGCATATGAATCCACTGACCTCAAGCAATTTTTCGAACAAAACGTCCCCATAATTAGAGCCCATGTGTGACACTGAAGTTGTCACATGTTGGCTCTATTGATCGGGAACCGATTAATAACATACCACTGATCGATCAGTTCCAGATCATCTCCTTTCATAGAGCGGTGACTGTCAGTCACCGCTCCCCGCAGGGATTCCTGTCTCTCCTTTCCGTTCCTCCAGTGCTGACTGGAGGGACTGACAGGGTTGGGGGGCAAGCACAGCTGGCTCTAGAGCGGCAAAGCCAGCTGTCAATCAGGCAGATAGGTGGCTCCCGACATTTGCTGAGTTTTGGGTCACAGGAGCACATTAGTATATGTCCTCCTGTGACCCTAAAAAGAACTATGGCAAAAAAAGCTTGGACCATAGTTCTCTGTTAAGGCCTTCAACAAAGCAGCTTAAGCATGCTAAAAATCTCATGAATGCTTTGTAAAAGCTTTCTGTACACACCGCTCTTGGACAAGCTGAAAGCCATGAGAACAAGACCTTAGACTCCATACCTGTGATATCTGCAAGTATAGGATATTTTTTGTGTGATGGGGCCCCATCGTGGTCAAATAACTCTCAAGCAGCTGGCACATGTGCTCGGTTGCAGATGAGGACTGCCATTATACTGTAAGGCCATTCCCCATCATCATCATCCACATGCATGCAAAGCATGTATGATAGGAATTCAGCCAAAGTGGGGCCCAGTTTCTGAAAGCCCGAGCAGCAACAACCTTTCACATACCGAGTATAGGATCTTATAGGGGATAAGCTTGCTGGGCAGGAGGAGAAGATGTTTATGGGTTTTGTATGCTCATTTACGATACTATAAATGTATTTTCTCATTAAAGACTTTTCTTATTTTAAAAAAGTAAGTTGCTTTTTTAATTTATGTTTGCAGGCCACAAGTCTCAGCGGGAAGAACTTGATGCCATCCTCTTTATATTTGAGGTAAAATAGAATAGTTCTTTTAAGCTGGTTTGTTTACAGGTTATCTGCTTCTGTAATCACATTATCTCATTTTGCAGAACTCTAAGTGTTGCTCGATAACATTGGAGCTGGTGTCTAAGAGAGGTTACCAGCAGTAATTACTGGGGGCTCTGTTAACTCCTATGGCAGCTTGTAGTTACCAAGAAAGTTTGTTCCAGTTCACTGGCTTAGACTCTTTGAACCTCTATTCCTGCTAATGTGCCAGGAGAATGTCTGTAATAAGCTTTTTTTTCTTCTTTTTAGAAAATTTTGCAACTTCTTCCTGAGAAAATTCACCAACGATGGCAATATCACAGCATAAGTGAGTGTGCTCAAAAATAACCTGTACATCTCCAACCATAGAAGCTAAATTTAGAGGAAAAGGAGGAGGAGCACAGTGGCATAGTGGTTAGCACTTCTGCCTTGTAGCACTGGGGGGCCCTCGTTCGAATCCCGGCCATGTTACCATCTACAAGGATTTTGCAAGTTCTCCCTGTGCTTGAGTGAGTTTTCTCCGGTTTCCTCCCACACTCCAACTCCACACAGCAACGACATGCTGATGGCTCCTGTCTAAATTGGCCCTCGTATGTATGCATGTGATATAGGGACCTTAGATTGTAAGCGCCTTGAGGGTAGGGACTGATGTGAATGTGCACTGTGCAAGGCGCTGCGTACATTGTCGGCGCTATATAAATAATAATAATTACATTTCAAAAAGGAGGGAAAGCGGGTTCTGTCACCCAATGGATCTCCAAGAAACCCAAATTCTGAAGGCAGTGGGCCAGTATTATTATCACCGCTGCTACTGGATATCTAACTAGTTGGCAACGATTCACATCATCGATTAGTTGCCGCCGCCGCCGCTCTGTTCCTTCGTTCTCCCTGCTGGTGCTGACTGCAGCGGTCTGTGTCCCTTTCAATCCCCGCTGCTCACCCCACCTGTATCGGCAGAGGTAGCAGGGACAGAACCACTGCATCCGGCACCTGCGGGGAGGAGAGACTGTTGGGACTGCATTCCCCCACTGCCCCTCCATACCTCCGCTGACCTTGGTCCTTCTTTTTCTCCTGTGCCTCTGCTTCTGCCCCCCCGTTCCTCCTCTGCCCTGCCCCCATGCCTCCTCTGCATCTAAAGGCTGGGAGCCATACCCAGCCTGCTATTGGATATTTTAAAATGCAATAGCAGGCTGGCTTTGCACCCGCCCACTGCCTGCTGTCAATCAGCAGAGGAGGACCTGATGGAGATCTTTCTTCTTTGGGTCCCTCCTCTACTGATTGACAGCAGGCAGTGGGCGGGTGCAATAGACAGCCTGCTATTGGCTATTGCAATTTGAAATATCCAATATCAGGCTGGCTATTGCTCCCAGCAATAAAGTAAAAAAAAAAAAGTTTAAAAAAATCAAGTTAAATAAACTAAAATTAAAAAGACTAAAAATTTTTAAAAAAAGTTACATAAAAAATGCAAACAAATAAAAAAAAATTGTTAAATAAACTAAAATATAATTTTTTTTGGTTTGTTATTTTAAATAAAAGGATGGTTATTTTATTATATTGGCTTAGTGTTTTACAATTCACATAATTTAAATCCATGAAACGAATTCAAATGTCTAATATAATACATACAATTAGTAAAAAATATATATATTTAGAAGGTGGGAAAAGTCAATTTCAGTTTCGGCCTGACAAATTTTTTGCTGCCAGAGGTGCGTTGCGGTGCCATTCATTCCAATGGATCCCAAATGCACCTCCCGTCCATAGTGTGATCGCCCACACTGGAACGAGCGGTTCTGCAATGCCCTGCGTTCCAGTGCAGTGTGATTTTAAAAAATGTGCATACCATTTTATTCTGAAGCAAACTTTTATGTCTGTAACTCTGCATTTGTGTATTTTATTTTAAATAAATGACGCTATTATTTTATTTTAATCGATTAATCAAAGTTAATGATTGGCTAACTAATCAATTATGGAAATAATCGTTAGCTGCAGCCCTAGTTGCAAGTATGGGTGTCACCAGGCAAATACTTTATTCTATACTTTTTTTGAAATTCCAGAATGCAGCAGGAAGCAAAGTGCAAATGAGTGAGAGAGCCATAAACGTATGAAAGGTCTAGTTAAACTTTAATGTTCATACCGTAAAGTTCATAGAAAAATAGGCAGCATGGGGGCTGAATCTCTTTTCATCAGGACTATGAAATAAAACAACATAAAATATAAATATATATGTGTGTCTTGTAGCAAAGTTCACATTATAAAAACTGATATATACACAGCCATAGGAGCAATTAGTCAGCTTACATATATAAAGGCTTGTGGACAGCAGAGACAAATAATGAGGTCTTGCTACCAGGTAAGATGTGGACCTAGGAACAGGGGCTTTATCCCAAAAACAGGCAGGACTTGTACCTTTTTATTGTTCTGTCAGCAGTCATCCATTTCACCCAGCAGCAGGCACTCACAGCAAAGAGAATGAGAGGGAGCCCTGAGCAATTAGTCAGCTTACATATATAAAGGCTTGTGGACAGCAGAGACAAATAATGAGGTCTTGCTACCAGGTAAGATGTGGACCTAGGAACAGGGGCTTTATCCCACCCATAGATTTACAAAGCCTCTGGGCTTCAGAACCTATTAAAAGAAATTCAGGTTTTGTAAAACACTTAACCCTTGCAGTGGAGCTACCCCCACACTGCAAGGATTAAATGCTTGTTTTTGTCTAGGGGCAAAAATAAAGCAGATAAACTCACCTGATCCTCGGACCTGAGGCAGTGACCACTCGAATATCTCCCCCTCCACTCTGGCTGTGGTACGTCCCTCTGCATCCTCACGTCGAAGACTGGTCTAGCAGCCAGGCAGGACTGAGGATTGGGTGAGTGTTTCGTCTTTATTTTTGCCCCTAGACCAAAAGGAGCACTTAACCCTTGCAGTGCAGGGGTAGCCTCAGTGCAATTTAATAATTCTGGGGTTCTTCATTAAGATTCAGAGAAAATAAAAATGTTTTTACTTCATGTCAGTCATACACACTGGAGTCTCTCACCATGTGTAGGTGAGAAACCTAGGTGACACATATACACTATCTATAATCCTGCCAGCCAGTGCCTGAGATAGATGGCATAGATGGATGGAAAGCATTTTAGATCAGTCCGCAATCTGAGGCATTGTCATCAGTATAAAGAAGCATGCATGGTACATGCTTTTTCAGTGAGTTCACTATAATGTGCCCATGTATAAACCTTAACAACCAGTCAGAGATGGAAGAGTTATACTTGGAACAGGAAACAGCCAGTACAATTCTTAATAAATCAAAGTTCATCCCTATTGCTGATCCCCTCCACTGGATAATTAGGCAATGTGATCAGGAAAAAAGAAAACAGACCTACCATTCAGGCATAGAGGAGGCAATAAAATCTGCTGTCTATCTCTCACATATTCAGTAAATTTTTGTAGAATACATTCACATTTGTCTATTCTAAACATGCTGCAAGTACAGGAAATACCTGTTGATCTGCCACAAATTCAGTGTGCTCTTAACTTCCTGTTTAGGCTGACAACTCTACATCTGCTGAACTGAAATCCCAAGCAATGTTTTAGTTTCTCCCTTGCTGTACTACAGAACGCCTCCCCATCATGTTATGGAGATGAGGAGCGGGGGAGGTTTTCTGTAGTCCAGAAGGGAGGATAGGACAGGGAAGCAGAGGCATGGTGTTGGCCACTAAACAGGAAGTTAGGAGTGCACTGGATTTCTGTACTTGCAGATTTTCAAAGGGAAAATACAGGGGGGAGGGGAGGGGGGATATGTACGTATTGCAGAAATTTACTGAATTTGTTTTGCTTTAATCTTGCCCAGGCATATACTTTAAGTCCCCTGTAGTGGTGTCAGCGCTGATGTTATGATCAGATATGAGCATTAGCCATTGATATCTATCACAGACATATCAGGATATCAGACAGTCACAGTTTGTATGTGCTTAGGTGGTGTGGGTCACTGGTGCATAGACAAAGTTGCAGTCTGGGAACACTAAGGCCCAGGTTCAAACCTAAGGTAGGGAGAGTACAAGGTGATCACCTATAATTTCCTTCTGACATCTAGAAATTGCCTTAAGGGTTTACTGATCACCAATATAAAATGGAGGATGCCAAAGACCAGTGCAGAAGATCTGAGTGGCTCTGACCGAGACCTCCAACATTAATTGCTTTAAAATATAGTATCTAGTCTATTAAACATTTTTCCCCATGTTTCTGCAGTAGATTGAAAACACGCTAAATATTCTTTATTTGCGTATTTTATACTTGGGGTCTATTTTTCAACCAGCCATACGCTGAGTGAATAGCATTCACGCAGCATTCCTGTCACCAGACAGGACATTCATGTGCACCACGGCTACATCTAGTGGCAGGAATGTCGTGCAAACAGCGTTCGTCCAGCATATGAGTATGTGAGCCCGTTTTGGCAAAGTAAACATCACTTTATGGGCATTGGACATTAACAAGAGGTGTGTTGTGCAACATATTCCTGACCCTACCCAAGTTCTCTTGTATATACAACCCATGTATTATCCTATGTATATTGCTTCATAGCTCCTGCTTACCATACCACTCTCTGAACTCAACAACACATAGCAGAAAGACTTTATAGTGTAACTGGTCCCTGGCTTTTGAATGATCGACACGTTTCAACATTTCTGAATTGTTACACTCCAGTCAAAAGTAAATGTGAAGCCTGGAGATGTATGCAGGGAGCACATACTACCTGTTCAGCACTTCACTTTTCCAGTCCACCCCTTCCCTTTTGTCTGTAGTCTGTTGATCTTAATCATACCTACATTTAAAGCATCTCTGGTCCTTAGATGTGGTGGCTGCCTTAGTTTACATATTCAGCAAGTATAGAAAATACCTTTTTATCTTCTGTGAGCTGAAAGTGAAAAGAATGCATTAGAACCTTTTATTTATTGTGTAAATTACTATTCCCGCCAATCGTCCATATAATGGAGATGAACAAAGCAAGACATGTTTGAAGTCCAGCATGCGTGACAACCATGGCTCCTTTCATAGATATAGTGTAGAAACTAGTGTAGCCACCCATGGACAGGAAGTCCATGTTATTTGCAGGATTACCAGCTGAAAATAAAGTGAGAAAGCCCCAAAAAAGAAAACGCTTGCAGCCAGCTAAGCTAAGGACTGGTTTTCTGCAATATGACGTTTTTGTTTTTGGGTTTAGATATGCTTTAATGTTTCCATTCTTCTGGGAAGATGTACAGGCTTTACAATCTTTCTTCTAAATACCAGTGACAATACAGTAAGTCCATTTTTACTAGCCAGACCAGAAAAAAAAAACATTCCGGTGGCCACCCTAATGCTGATGATACTGGAACACCCCGTGCTTCTTGCTGCCTTTGACATAACCTAAAAAGGACAGCATCCGTGCTGCTTATAGGCCCTCTGCAGCTAATATTTTCCCCAATGACCTACTGATCATGCCTTGTTCAATACTGTGTCTGTGTGGAGGTGGGTATCTTGGAGCACATGTTCACTTCCTCATATATGAGCTGCCCACTAATGATCTGATGGCTGGTGGGGGAATATTCACAACACTGCAGAAGTAATGCAGAAAGCACAGATCCACTGAATGAATGAAGCAGTAAGTCCTTAAAGCAGCATTAAGCCCTTGTTCACACCTGAACGTTTTGTGGCGCGTTCTACGCTCGACGAACGCTCTAAAAAACGCTCAAACATCTAAATCCCATTGTATTCAATGGGTCTGGTTCACACCTTGCCGTATTTACGCCCGTCCGAACGTGATACAAAACGGCCTACGCCCAAAGAAGTACATGTACTTCTTTGGGGCGTTTTGGTTTCGCGTTTCCATTGGGATACAGCCAAATAGCCCTCGAAAACGGGCGTTTGTCGCTTGTTTTTTTTTTACCGCGAATCGCGGTAGAAACGCGCATATTCAATACGCCTAGGTGTGAACCCAGCCTTAGGGTTGGGGGATTCTGCCTACAATGTCACTTTAAAGTAATAATGTATACGCTGCTTGGCAAAACAAAAGGCTCACACCAATATTTAATTGGACCGCCTTTAGCTATGATTACGGCACATTCGCTGTGGCATTGTTTTGATAAGCTTATACAATGTAACACCATTTAATTCCGTCTAGAGTTTTAAAGAGCATTCATTTTTTCACCAAGATCTTGTAATGAGGATGGGAGAGTCGGACCCCTGTTTAAAGTCTTCTCCATCACATCCCAAAGATTCTTTTGGAGACTCTGTGATGGCGAATCCATGTGTGAAAGTGATGCCTCGTGCTCCCCGAACCAGTTTTACACAATTTGAGCCTGATTAATCCTGGCATTGTCATCTTGGAATATGCCCTTGCCATCAAGGTCATCCAGTATATTCAGATAGGCAGCTGATCTCATTTTTTGGGCCCATGTTTCTGTACCTAGACTAATTATTCAGTGGTAGGCTCTTGCCTATTTGCTGAATCCAGGTGGTGACTTTTTTTTTGGACAGGCGGTGCATAATAAGTTTTTATTATGTAAAAAAAAAAGAAGCTAAAAGAACTGTGTATTTGGTGTTTTCTTGGGAGTTGGGGTAGCCTGCATACTGTTTTCAATATTTCAGTCCCCAAACAGACATGGCATAGTTATAAGCTTTTTAAATGTACTAACAAACCAAACATTGCAAAATATGTTCCCAGCTGCGCTTTAAAGGCCATTAATAGCCTAAACTGTGCTATAACAAAGGTGTTACTTCCTTACAGTTATTTGTTTTCAGATAAGTGAGACACCCACCATCACTGACTTTGTGGTGACTGAAAGAGTTGGGGGAAACTGAGTTCTGGTAGTGTCACCCCCCACAGTGGAGTCTCCAAGAAATATAAGAAGCCAAAAATGATTTTTCTTTAGAGCAACCACACAAAGCTAAAATGTCTACGTTGGGTAAAACTGGACGCTTTAATGTTTTACATGCATTTTTCTTGTTTTGTTTTTATTGCCTTGTTTTTAGCCGTTTACTTTATAATATATGCACATACTTCCCATCTTTTAGGTCTGATCCTAAAAAAATTGCTTCACACCGGAAACTCCTTAAAGGTCAGTAAAGCAGAACAGAGATGGGCGGAGGATCTATTTTATATACACAGGTGTTTGCATAATATAGTTTGGCATCATTCACATACTTTATTCCGTTCCACTCTGTTGAAAAGAAAAATGTTTCTAGTGTAATAAAAGTGTTTTTCAGCCCCATTCATGTTTTTACATAGACTCTTACAGCAAAAATGTAAGTCCTGCGTAGGTAACAGCCCTGCTGTAGCTGATTTAAAGAAGCTGCATAAACAAAACAAATATGCAGCATTTCAAGAACCTGGCTTGCAAAACTTTTTGGAGGTGCTGGTGATGTTACCTTGCCTGGCTCATACATACTGTGAGAATGTGCTCCTGCACTATGCTAGAATTCATTCTCACAGGATTCCTACCACCCAGCTCTCTTATGTAGCAGTGATTAAGTCTTCACCTCCAGCATCCATGTAAATATAAAAACTTTGCCTGTAGTAGCCAATCGGATGTCTTGTTTTTTTCTTCCAGGCCATATAAGATGAGAACTGATGGGTCATTTCTCTTGTTTTATATACATTTATCCCCTTTGGCAATTGTTTTCAGGTTTGCTGATTACAATGCTTGGTACACAAACAGCCTTTAGAGGTAAAATATATGAAGTTGTAGCAGAAAATGTGTGAAAAAACGTTAAATCTGTTGTTTTCACTTAAGTGTTAAAGAGCTCAAAATGAGTACTCTCTGAATATATCCTACAATTATCCTCAAATAACAGTGCCAGTGATAACAGATAATATTGTTTATAAGTACCAGTGCAAACAAATGAATCTGCCTTTGGCTGCAGCATTATGGTTTATATATTTTTGCTCCTGCTTACAAAAGAGTGTTAACGCTATTGGATGCAAAAGGCAGGAAAACCCTTCTTTTTTCTGCTGCTCTGTGTTTCTGATTTATCTGTGCCTACAGTATAATATCAGTCAGCCTCATTTATCGATGGTAAGCTTAACCACCATAGCTTTAAAGGCATATTTCACGTTTTACAAAACAATAAATAAATGCACATTTTTTTATTTTTTTTTGCATTGGAACTTTGGAAGCATAGCAGCTGTAATAGCGGACCCTGGCTCCTGCAGACCTTTTCTCCAGCCCCTAGTCTGTACGGAGGTATGGACCTTCTGCTATGGAGCTGGAGGAAGTTATAAATGGACTACAAGTCCCTCTGCCGTGGTGGCAAATGGGATTTTTAGTTTTTGACTGATGACTGATAGGGCTGTGCAGGCAGTCACACACAGCCATGCCAATTTCAAACACACAAGAGCTTTAGGGGAGAAGCACCCGCTGATTCAGGTGGGAAGGCAGGTTGGGGTTGAGGGGCTGTGGCACCATATTCCATGCTGCACCCTAAATATCAATGTACCATTGTATTGCTGGAATTAGCCTTTATCTTTCACTTTCCAGTACATGTTTAAATCTGATTGGAGTCTATATGGCAACACAGACAGCTGGTAAAGAAAATGATGCATAAGGGGTCTCATGTATATAGTGCCTGACTGAACTGAGTCTTCCTTTTCCCTTTTTGCCACAATTGAGATTCTCTCTCTCTCTCCTGTTTCAAGGGCAAGTTATGATGTGCATTGTAGATACTGATTAGTTGCTTACAGGGAAACAGACCGCTTGTCAACCACACACAATAAATTAGATCCTGTATAGTTGTTCCAAGCAAAACACTTATAAATAAGTAATCATTAACAAACCTTGTAAATTAATAACCTGGTGAAAGTGCCTTCTGAACACTGGCAGTGCCAATCATCAGGACCTGTTTTCTCTTTGCATGTATTTGTATATATTAGTTGATGCAGTGTCAAATCTTGCAATACAAGATTGAGCACATGCAAAATAAAGTATGTTAGGCTAAAAAACAATCCTTTCATATATATAAGGTAAGGGTGCCAGAAATTGTGGGTGAAATGTAACTGAACTGTACGAGAAAATGGCTTGGTATTTAATCTGGAGAAGGGAAAATTATGGTTGGGTACCTGTAAATTGGCATATTAATGGGGACTTAAAGCATTTGTAAACCCAAGAACAAAAATTTAATATATTACAACTTGCCAGTCCTTAGATGCTGAGACTGCATTAGTATTCTTTTCTCAGGCTTAAACGATTTCCAGCAAGTACAGAAAATACCTAAATAGTCATGCCAGAAATGCAGTGTCCTATCGGCTGAAAAGATAGCATAAACATCCGTACCTTTATTGTGACAACTACTAGTCCCATTAATGCACCGTGTGATGAAGATTAACAAAGGCAGACATGTTTGAAGTCTAGTTCTGGTGGCAACTATGGCTGCCACCAAAGAAACAGTGGAGAGGTGGAGAGTGTAGTCATTATATACAGTGGAGAGTGTAGTCATTATATACAGTGGAGAGTGTAGCCACCCAGGGACAGGAAGTGCGGTATTTGCAGAATTGCCAGGTGAAAAAAAGCATGGAAAAAGAAAACTAATACAACCACCACATCTAAGGATTGGTAAGCTGCAATATGTACAATTTTTGGTTTTGGGCTTAGCTATGCTTTAAAGCGCACCTATGCCCTATCATGCAGACTAAACGTATTTACATATATTGAACAAGCAGTAAGATCACTTTAAAACTACCCTCATTCACCTATTAATTTATCTATAGGCATTGTGGAGTAATTGAGAGGTCATTGATAGCTTGTTTTAAATCCCTTTTACTGCTTGTTAAGAATATGTAAATACTTTAATGTCCATAGTCTGGGCACAGGTGCACTTCAAGGTAAAGCTGTTGCTAGAAATATCAGTATTAGGCCTTGTTCACACCAAGCGCGTTCCAGGAGCAGAGCAGTTACAGACTGGATCAAAACTGCGTCCAATGTATTCCAATGGTATTTTGGGCTCTAGTTCACACTGCAGCTTTCAGTTCCAGAGCATGTAAGAAAACTGCAGCAAGCCCTATTTTACCTGCTCTGGAACACATACAAACGCATCAAAAACGCATGCAAACACCCTGAAGCGCACTGAAAGCCCATTTTAAACAAAAAAAAATATATAATTTTTTTTAACCAAAAACGGCCCCGAACGCATCAAAATTGTGGCAAAAAACACGGCGCAACCCACTGCACTGCGTGTGCAGAAACTTATGCAGATCTGGTCTGCATTTGGTGTGAACAAGCCCTCAAACATGCAAACACTATAAGGTGAATGTATATACCTTAGATTTTCTTTTTGGGCCCTCAAGTACACCTCAGTAGGCACCTTAATCCCCTTTGAAAATATAGACTTTCTGAAGGCCACAGCTGCCCCTCCAATATTACCACATTGCATTGTTTTACATGGTTCTTTTCTAATGACTGCTTTGCTATCAAGTTATATGACAAGTTTCAAGCTCACTACACATGTTACAATCTGATTGCCCAACCTCCTTTAGATCTATCAAAATATATATAGTTCAAAGCTTCCTGATTGGGTGGATTAGGTAAGACCTCATATTAAATAGTTTTGATAAATCTAAAGTTGATTGTATGGTCAGGTTGTAACATGTATTGTGACCCTAAGAAATTGACAAGTAAGACCATATATGGGTTTATTGTTAGTGATTTGGTTCCAGCTAAATGATTAGTGTGTATGTCCCCAGATCCGCCTTGAAGGAATGCGCTTGTTTCTCCTGTGGCTTCAAGCACTTCAGAACAACTGCAGTTGGGAGCAGCTGTGCATGTTTGCCTGCCTCATTCCTGGATTCCCGGCTCCCCCTTCCGACCATGGCATATATACCCTGGATAGTCTTATCAACCTTCCACTGAATGTACAAGAAAGTAAGATATTGCTAGATCCACCTTCTTTCCCAGAGGTGTTGTGTGTACTGATTACTTATACTATGCATTCAATAATCACTGACAACTTATTTCTACCTTGCTGTCTTGCTATGGTGGCTTACTCACATAAGAGATATAGGTCATTGGAAAACTATTATAATTTTTGCAGTTCGAACATCATGAGGTATTGTTAGCAGCAAACTGTACCAAAATGAATGTGATCACTTATACTGGTTTTATTTTTTTCCAATGTTAAATAAAAACTGTTCATTGTATTTGTAAGTTGCACAGAGGCAGTTAGTACTTATACCAATGGTAGAACAGCTAATGCTGCAGAGTAGGATAATGGCTAGGGCAGAGGAAGGAAAGGTTAGGATCTAGCTAGGGTGGAGGGAACTGGTTAGGATGAGACTAGGGTGGAGTGGACTGGTTATGGTGGAGTGGACTGGTTATGGTGGAGGGGACTGGTTATGGTGGAGGGGACTGGTTAGGATGGAGGGGACTGGTTAGGATGGAGGGGACTGGTTAGGATGGAGGGGACTGGTTAGGATGGAGGGGACTGGTTAGGATGGAGAGGACTGGTTAGGATGGAGAGGACTGGTTAGGATAAGACTAGGGCAGAGGGGACTGGTAGGATAAGGCTATGGTTAAAAGGCTTTATGTGCAGTTCTTGATGAACTGGTCAAAATTCCTAGAGTGGGTGCTCTCAGCACCCTTCTGCCCTTTATCCCTCGATGAGCTGATCGAAGGAGCAGGGAGGAAAAGTCTCACCCGATTGGAGCTTGCAGCCAATTGGCTGCAGGCTCTGTTCGGGAATTCTGACAGCTGCTGCCGCCTGCTGTCAGAATACAGTAGAAACAGATCAACGCTTGTAAGTGTTCATGAAGGAATCTGTTCTATTTTTTTTTTCATTCAGCCTCCAGGTTGAATGAAAAAAATAGAACCATGTATACCTGCCTTTTGGTTAGGGCAGAGGGGACTGGATAGGATTAAGTCTAACGTGAAGGGTACCGTTAAGGTGAGGCTAGGAGGGAGAGGACTATTTAGGATGAGGCTAGGGTGGAGTGGACTGGTTAGAAGGACTCTAAGGCTGGTGGGACTGGTTAGGATGAGGACAGGGCACAAGGGACTGATTAGGGCAGAGGGGACTTGCTAGGGTTAGGCTAGGGCAGAAGGGACTGGCTCGGGTTAGGCTAGGGTGGAGGGGGCTGGTTAGGGTGATGTTAGGATCAGTGGGATTCCCAGGACTATGGACATCAGGTTTGGCTTAGTAATGTATGGTCTGGTCAGTGTGGCTGTGTTTCTTTAGATAAGGACTTGCTAGGCTGCTGGTTGTGAGCCAGTCATTTATTATATGTTTTCCAAGTATTAAACACAGTATGGTGAACTCTTTATGCTTTTTTAGATCAAGTGACCATTGAGGAAATTACACCACTGGTTCCTCCCCAGTCTGGAGACAAAGCACAGGAAGATCTCACTAGTTATTTTCTTGAGGCCTTGTTGAAGTACATGGTTATACAGGTATGAGTTGTGATTTAGTGTAACTACCGGTCACACATGCAGTCTTTTTATCCTCTCCTATATTGAAGACTCTATGATGTTTTAAATCATTAATGAAATAGTGTAACACATTGCTCTGCACCGCATACACTTAGTGGAGGAGTCTGTTTTCATACCTAATAAGCAGAAATGCATTAGTGTGCTCTAATAGCTGTGCTTCTTTTTCTTTGGACATACATTCATATTCACAACACAAAGATGTATCAGAAGCTTTATCTAACATTACTTTTACAGTGGAAGGTCATGTTGGAGCTTTGGTTAGTGTTTTTTTAAAGAGAATTGTCAGCACAAATAGCTTTTGTGTTGACTCTGATCTAACTGTATGGAAGCACAGATGAATTTTCCCTGTACCCCATCTATTTTCCTGGTACAGTATACAGTTCCACAGTTGTAGATATTTTACTTGTGTCTTAATCTAATGGTGAAATGTGGCTTGCCTTCATTTATAATGGTTATCAAATGTATGCTGGAGAGACCATTAATACATTTAAAATGTACTCAAGTTTGTTTTCTTTTAGGTCCGGAGTTTAGAATGGCGCAACAGAGATAAGGAGGAAGGTGGCTTTGCCTTCTTGTTCTCATACTTCAAGAAATACTACATGCCTTACATTTTCCCTGCAATGAGCAGAGAAAGCAGCCTATACAACCCAGTACTTGGTAAGCTCATAGTAACAGGAAAAACTGCACAATTTGTTGTAAGTCTGATTTCCTTTAATCAAGAAGAACTGCAATATTAAGGTTTACCTGTACTCTTAAAGGTCCTCGTAATCGTCCTGAATGGTAGTCACTATGCATACCATAAGGTGGCAGATCTTACCCTTATCTTCACATGCACCTTCTTCAGGGTGTAGCCACAGCTAACAGACCTTTTTCTAGAATTTCTGACTTTCTGAAAATTTGTATTTGCATCAGCCTAGCAATACCATGCTTAGGTCTGGTTATTGGTCACGCAGGCATTTTGCTCTGTCACTTGGTGGGGGCATCATTACATTCCCTGTATCCTTGGAAGTTGGCATATTTCAGGAATTCAGCTGTGCTGCTATGGCCAATGGTAAGGTCCGGCACCTTACCAACCCTCCTTAACTCTCGGGTCCTCTTATAGAGCCATGGATCTAATTCCTGTTTAAACTCTCTTTCGGAGCTTGCACAGGGTTAATGTCCTGCTCCACTCCATTATGTGGAAGTGTTTGAGACTGATGATTGTCTGTTCAAGTCCAGACACTGCATCCCTTCAATCCCTGTTTAATCTCTGTTTCGGAATTTGCACAGTGTTAATGGCTTGCTCCACTTTATCATGTGGTAGTGTTTGAGGCTAATAATTGGCTGCTCAGGCCCAGGCATTTCCTGCTTGGAGGAAGGGAAGAAGGTATGTCCAGGCCCCGACCCCATACCCAGAAAAATTTGGTATTTTAAAGGATCCCCAATAGAAGAAACATCAAGGCCATGCAGTGAAGGAGAATATCAGTTTGTTGGGGTAGGCTTTCAAAAGAGCCTGTCACTTTGTCTTGAATGGGCAAAGTGGCAAGGATTAATTTTCATCAGACCTTTATGACGATATCCTGTAACTGTGTACATCTTTAACGTAATGTGTAGTTAATGTTAAGGACTTTGCTCACATCCCTCGATAATTTATACATCCTAAAACGTTGCAGAGATACCACAGATGAGACCAAAACCCCACTATGTGTTGGTACGGAGGGACGCAGAGAGCAATGAGGCTCATTACTGCACCAAAGAGCCCTTTCTCAATGCCCGGGTGATTGTCATTCGATGGCTGGTGTCCTTCTGGCTGGAACCAAAGCCACACACTGGGACTCACATTCCGGGGACGGAAGGGGAGACTGTGCCAAAGAATATTCAGGTATTCCTACAGGTTTCACTTAAGAGTTTGACTTTGTTAAACAATAGAATGTGATCTTGTAAAATCCATGGAAGTAAAAGTCAACTTTATTATATATGGGCTCATATGTATTAATAATGTCTATTTTTGTTAAGAGAGCTGCTGCAAACCTGGCTGCCCAGGAGGAAAGTAGAAATGAGAGTGTAGAGAGGACCACAGAGCCCGAGCAATCGCACTCCAACACTAGCACCCATTGGGAGCAGCTGTGCATGTTTGCCTGCCTCATTCCTGGATTCCCGGCTCCCCCTTCCGACCATGGCATATATACCCTGGATAGTCTTATCAACCTTCCACTGAATGTACAAGAACGTAAGATATTGCTAGATCCACCTTCTTTCCCAGCGGTGTTGTGTGTACTGATTACTTATACTATGCATTCAATAATCACTGACAACTTATTTCTACCTTGCTGTCTTGCTATGGTGGCTTACTCACATAAGAGATATAGGTCATTGGAAAACTATTATAATTTTTGCAGTTCGAACATCATGAGGTATTGTTAGCAGCAAACTGTACCAAAATGAATGTGATCACTTATACTGGTTTTATTTTTTTCCAATGTTAAATAAAAACTGTTCATTGTATTTGTAAGTTGCACAGAGGCAGTTAGTACTTATACCAATGGTAGAACAGCTAATGCTGCAGAGTAGGATAATGGCTAGGGCAGAGGAAGGAAAGGTTAGGATCTAGCTAGGGTGGAGGGAACTGGTTAGGATGAGACTAGGGTGGAGTGGACTGGTTATGGTGGAGTGGACTGGTTATGGTGGAGGGGACTGGTTATGGTGGAGGGGACTGGTTAGGATGGATGGTTAGGACGGAGGGGACTGTTTAGGATGGAGGGGGCTGGTTAGGATGGAGGGGACTGGTTAGGATGGAGGGGACTGGTTAGGATGGAGAGGACTGGTTAGGATGGAGAGGACTGGTTAGGATAAGACTAGGGCAGAGGGGACTGGTAGGATAAGGCTATGGTTAAAAGGCTTTATGTGCAGTTCTTGATGAACTGGTCAAAATTCCTAGAGTGGGTGCTCTCAGCACCCTTCTGCCCTTTATCCCTCGATGAGCTGATCGAAGGAGCAGGGAGGAAAAGTCTCACCCGATTGGAGCTTGCAGCCAATTGGCTGCAGGCTCTGTTCGGGAATTCTGACAGCTGCTGCCGCCTGCTGTCAGAATACAGTAGAAACAGATCAACGCTTGTAAGTGTTCATGAAGGAATCTGTTCTATTTTTTTTTTCATTCAGCCTCCAGGTTGAATGAAAAAAATAGAACCATGTATACCTGCCTTTTGGTTAGGGCAGAGGGGACTGGATAGGATTAAGTCTAACGTGAAGGGTACCGTTAAGGTGAGGCTAGGAGGGAGAGGACTATTTAGGATGAGGCTAGGGTGGAGTGGACTGGTTAGAAGGACTCTAAGGCTGGTGGGACTGGTTAGGATGAGGACAGGGCACAAGGGACTGATTAGGGCAGAGGGGACTTGCTAGGGTTAGGCTAGGGCAGAAGGGACTGGCTCGGGTTAGGCTAGGGTGGAGGGGGCTGGTTAGGGTGATGTTAGGATCAGTGGGATTCCCAGGACTATGGACATCAGGTTTGGCTTAGTAATGTATGGTCTGGTCAGTGTGGCTGTGTTTCTTTAGATAAGGACTTGCTAGGCTGCTGGTTGTGAGCCAGTCATTTATTATATGTTTTCCAAGTATTAAACACAGTATGGTGAACTCTTTATGCTTTTTTAGATCAAGTGACCATTGAGGAAATTACACCACTGGTTCCTCCCCAGTCTGGAGACAAAGCACAGGAAGATCTCACTAGTTATTTTCTTGAGGCCTTGTTGAAGTACATGGTTATACAGGTATGAGTTGTGATTTAGTGTAACTACCGGTCACACATGCAGTCTTTTTATCCTCTCCTATATTGAAGACTCTATGATGTTTTAAATCATTAATGAAATAGTGTAACACATTGCTCTGCACCGCATACACTTAGTGGAGGAGTCTGTTTTCATACCTAATAAGCAGAAATGCATTAGTGTGCTCTAATAGCTGTGCTTCTTTTTCTTTGGACATACATTCATATTCACAACACAAAGATGTATCAGAAGCTTTATCTAACATTACTTTTACAGTGGAAGGTCATGTTGGAGCTTTGGTTAGTGTTTTTTTAAAGAGAATTGTCAGCACAAATAGCTTTTGTGTTGACTCTGATCTAACTGTATGGAAGCACAGATGAATTTTCCCTGTACCCCATCTATTTTCCTGGTACAGTATACAGTTCCACAGTTGTAGATATTTTACTTGTGTCTTAATCTAATGGTGAAATGTGGCTTGCCTTCATTTATAATGGTTATCAAATGTATGCTGGAGAGACCATTAATACATTTAAAATGTACTCAAGTTTGTTTTCTTTTAGGTCCGGAGTTTAGAATGGCGCAACAGAGATAAGGAGGAAGGTGGCTTTGCCTTCTTGTTCTCATACTTCAAGAAATACTACATGCCTTACATTTTCCCTGCAATGAGCAGAGAAAGCAGCCTATACAACCCAGTACTTGGTAAGCTCATAGTAACAGGAAAAACTGCACAATTTGTTGTAAGTCTGATTTCCTTTAATCAAGAAGAACTGCAATATTAAGGTTTACCTGTACTCTTAAAGGTCCTCGTAATCGTCCTGAATGGTAGTCACTATGCATACCATAAGGTGGCAGATCTTACCCTTATCTTCACATGCACCTTCTTCAGGGTGTAGCCACAGCTAACAGACCTTTTTCTAGAATTTCTGACTTTCTGAAAATTTGTATTTGCATCAGCCTAGCAATACCATGCTTAGGTCTGGTTATTGGTCACGCAGGCATTTTGCTCTGTCACTTGGTGGGGGCATCATTACATTCCCTGTATCCTTGGAAGTTGGCATATTTCAGGAATTCAGCTGTGCTGCTATGGCCAATGGTAAGGTCCGGCACCTTACCAACCCTCCTTAACTCTCGGGTCCTCTTATAGAGCCATGGATCTAATTCCTGTTTAAACTCTCTTTCGGAGCTTGCACAGGGTTAATGTCCTGCTCCACTCCATTATGTGGAAGTGTTTGAGACTGATGATTGTCTGTTCAAGTCCAGACACTGCATCCCTTCAATCCCTGTTTAATCTCTGTTTCGGAATTTGCACAGTGTTAATGGCTTGCTCCACTTTATCATGTGGTAGTGTTTGAGGCTAATAATTGGCTGCTCAGGCCCAGGCATTTCCTGCTTGGAGGAAGGGAAGAAGGTATGTCCAGGCCCCGACCCCATACCCAGAAAAATTTGGTATTTTAAAGGATCCCCAATAGAAGAAACATCAAGGCCATGCAGTGAAGGAGAATATCAGTTTGTTGGGGTAGGCTTTCAAAAGAGCCTGTCACTTTGTCTTGAATGGGCAAAGTGGCAAGGATTAATTTTCATCAGACCTTTATGACGATATCCTGTAACTGTGTACATCTTTAACGTAATGTGTAGTTAATGTTAAGGACTTTGCTCACATCCCTCGATAATTTATACATCCTAAAACGTTGCAGAGATACCACAGATGAGACCAAAACCCCACTATGTGTTGGTACGGAGGGACGCAGAGAGCAATGAGGCTCATTACTGCACCAAAGAGCCCTTTCTCAATGCCCGGGTGATTGTCATTCGATGGCTGGTGTCCTTCTGGCTGGAACCAAAGCCACACACTGGGACTCACATTCCGGGGACGGAAGGGGAGACTGTGCCAAAGAATATTCAGGTATTCCTACAGGTTTCACTTAAGAGTTTGACTTTGTTAAACAATAGAATGTGATCTTGTAAAATCCATGGAAGTAAAAGTCAACTTTATTATATATGGGCTCATATGTATTAATAATGTCTATTTTTGTTAAGAGAGCTGCTGCAAACCTGGCTGCCCAGGAGGAAAGTAGAAATGAGAGTGTAGAGAGGACCACAGAGCCCGAGCAATCGCACTCCAACACTAGCACCCTTACAGAACGTGAGCCTAGTGTCTCCAGCCTGTGCAGCATTGCTGAGGAGCACATCACGGACTATGAGATTATTCGCAGGTTCTTCTCCAGTAGGCGTGCCAACGTTGACTTCCTCATTGAGATCTTCCGGCAGGTGAGCATGGTTTCAAATGTGTATTATCAGTGGCATTTAAAAGGAAACAGTAGTGATTTTGGTTACTAGATTTGTTTTTTATTTAATTTTTTAGTTTTTTTAAGGTTTATACAATTATGAAAAGTTTTATGTTAAAGTTTGCTTTTCCCTTATGTGCATGCAGTAAACTCCCCGTTATCCGGCATCCACGCAGATTGGTAGATTCCGGATAAATGTACTTTCTGGTTGCTTGAGAGTTACTATTAAAAATAGGTCTAACTAATGCTATACCCCATACTATACCATATCATAACATAGACTCTGATTGACTTCATATTAATATTGAAATGCAGTAATCAAAAGTGAATTAAGATAAATAGACGCACTTAAAGGAGAACTTTGAGGTGAGTGCTTTTCACTCACCTCATAGTTCTAGCCGACCTGTGACAATGAGACTGTCACAGGTCGGCTCAGTAGATCGGGAAGTGAGCGAACACATACCAGCGCTCGCTCACTTCTCGATCCTGTCACGGCTCTCTGCCATAATTGTCGGGATCCGCTTCAGCTGCGGCGTCTCAGTATACAGCAAGCTGTAGCTTGCGGTATGCTGAGCCTAGGGTGATGGTAGGATGCTAGTTTGTGTCCTCCCATTACCCTAAGGAGAACTAACCCCATAGTTCTCCTTTAAGGGGGGACATGATTTTGATGTACAAAATGTTCAGTGGTGATGGCACAGGTCGGCTCAGTAGATCGGGAAGTGAGCGAACACATACTGGCGCTCGCTCACTTCTCGATCCTGTCACGGCTCTCTGCCGTGGCAGGGCAGGGGCTGGATTCCCCCCTCCCCACTTCGATCCTCCAGCGATGACTGGCGGACCGGCAGGGGAGGGGGCGGGTATAGCTGGCTCTGCCTCTAGATAGGCAGAGCCAGCTGTCACTTACGCAGCTGGGTGGATCCAGACATAATTGTCGGGATCCGCTTCAGCTGCGGTGTCTCAGTATACCGCAAGCTGAATCTCGCGGTATACTGAGCTTAGGGTGACGGGAGGACGCTAGTTTGTGTCCTCCCGTTACCCTTTGGAGAACTATGGGGAAAAGCCCTAACCCCATAGTTCCCCTTTAAAACATATAGACACACAATAATTTCCAGGATAATACATGCCGCAGATCAGCAAAATAGTGAGTACACAGGGGATTAGTTTCTTTCTGGTTAGTTGAATACCAGATAACAGAGTTTATTGTATAATGCATAAAGGCAACGTAGCCACCATAGGTAAGCGCAAGAAACGGCTCCTGTTATCCAATAAAAAAACTCAGAATTGATCGTCTGCTAAGGTGTTACTGACTACTTTGACTAATTAAGGACATGTATCAAGCAAATAAGTGACAACATTAGATGCAAATCAGGCTTTCTTTTGTACATTTGCATAATCTGTGCCATCAATCCAGACAGTTTTACACAATTCTGCAACAGAGCTGTCTTTCTGTAGCAGTTTAATATGCCCTGTGCTGTGACAGCTCTGCAGTTAGCGCAGTAAACAGGGAAACTGAACTTTGATTATTGGGGAGCACTAGGTCGGACTAGGCATGTGGGGCATGTTGGACTGCTGCTTCCACACAAACAGCTGTCTGTGGTCCTTCTCTGCATACTGACAGGAGGCAGTATGAGGCTTTTATAGTATTGCTATGGCTGCTTTACAAAGGAAACAAACTTGAGACTTTGATCCACGCTGAACGCATCTGGCTGTTTTAACAAAAAGTTCAGTTGGGCTTTATATTTACTGTTGTGAAAACTTTGCGTTTTAATATCAAATTTAGTTTTTGGATCATGATATGTTTTCATATTAGCCTTTGTCCTATTATGTTACTTTTTAGCATTCACTTGGAAAAATGCAAGCACTGTCTAGAGCAGACAGATTTGAAATTACATTTTGTAATGCAGATCAGAAAATGAAATTGAAAACCTTTTTTTCCCCAGTAATTTTGCACTAGAGAAGCTGTAACAATACTTTAAATGTAATAATTGATAATATTACTCAGAAAGTTTTTACATTTTCATCAATGTATTGATAACTGCGTTATATTTCAGTCATTCTTGCTGCCGGTGTGTGAAGCTGCAGGCATGCGTAAGGTGCTAAAGGTATATGAGCAGTGGATAAAGCAAAAGGAGAAGCCTCTGTTCATGCAAGAACCAGAGAGGCCTTCTGAAATAGACGATGGGATAATAACTGTTGAGCGGCAAGAAGATTCTGCTGGAACCTGTGAAAAGGGAAAGGAGAGAGCAGAGGTAAGAGATTGTGTACTGGAGTGTATATGATGTTTGCAGTAGTCCTGAGCAAAATTGGATCTTTCCATCCAGGTTATGCTGTCCATAATGGGCAGTAGCTTGCCAGCTTTAGCTTTGTGTCTATGGGAAAGTAGACTCTGTGGACCCACAAAATAGCATAACAGTTTGTTTTGTTTGACGAAACTAATGAAAAAATGTTTAGTTTCTGTTCATTTCCTCCGAAAAAAAATGTTTAGTCTTTGCACTTGTATAATAATGTGTGTGTGCTTTATTTATTTTTTATTAATATTATTATTCTTTTTGTTAAAAACTTTTTTTTTTTGGGGGGGGGCTTTGGGGAAATGTCAGGGGTCTAACCAGACCCCTGACATTTCCCTTTTGAAATAGAAAGAGAGTCCTCAATGTCTCATTCATTTAGAACAGCACCTATTCTAAATGAATAGAAAGCACTCAGTACAAAGGCTTCCCATTCATTCAGAAAGTGGTGATAGTAAAATATTTACTGTCATCCAGTCATGAATGAACAGGACGTGATGTAAAGAACTTCCTGTTCATTCATAACTGCGAACACATAGTACTATGTGTCCCCAGTTGTTTACAAACATTGTCGTGATCAGCTGATCAGTCCAGTGTTTGCTCTGTACAAAGAGGATCGGTAAATATCATAGATATTTACCGATCCTCCGCTCTGCCATCCTGAGCGCTGAAGCCAATGGGGGGGGGGGGTAGGTTGGGGGAGGAGGGAGCGCTGTCACTTCAGGATGGCCGAGCAGTGAGGAGAGAGGGCCGCCGGCAGTCAGATTCAGGCTGAGCAGCTCTCTCCTCACTGCTCGGCCATCCTGGATGCCAGCTACCTCCTCCAAACCCCCCATTTCTCATCGGATCCTCACTGCCTCTGCACATACTGGCGGGGGAGAGCATTGGGGACCTGAGGGGAAGCTGGAGCAGGTTTGCTTTATGCCAGTATTAGGTTAAACCCTACATAACCATACTTACCATATCAGGAACCTAAGAGATTGGGAGCAACTTCTTCACACACTGCTCCAATAATCCATTGATCGCAATACTGTAGGGCTTGGCTTTCAGTTTGGTGATCTGTTTGGTTGGTCTTTCTCAAATGAGAGACAAATCAAGCATCTTTTGTAGCTGTAAATCTAGCAATCACTATCAATAATCTTACATAACACGCTTCCAACATCTTCTAAATTTAAGCTTTTAAAACAACCGGCCTCTTATCTCCAAAGCTCCAACCATGAGATTCCTTGTCTTCAAATCTAATGCTTTGTTGCTATGATCAAGCTGTGTCCCTGAAATTTGAATGAATGGTTTGACATGGAATGTAGCCAAACCCATGCAGTTAGTTTTATGCATGGGTAGTAGTAACCAGGACAGCAGCATTTTAAAGATCTTCTGTGTTTTGGAATTTAATGTTGGGGTAGCAGTAGCTATAGTTCGGAATCCTGGAGTGTTAAAGGATTTGGGGTAAACAATAATTATATATATCTGGAATTAGTATGGTGTGTCATATATTCATTAGCAGAAAGAGCAAATTGTTATAACCTATAGCAACCAGTTACACAGACTTGGATTCAGTGGTTCAATGTTTGGCATTTTTTTATTTTCAATGAGTGTCACTATTTATCTTTGGATAGAATACACCGATCAGCCATAACATTGTGACCACCTACCTAATATTGAGTAGGTCCCCCTTTTGTTACACAGGCTTGCACTAGCCATATATGTGGGCTGAATAAGAGAAATCCCTCAATTTCCACACCCATACTAAACAGCATGGGTGCAAGGCAGCTGGCACCTTTGGCTGTCTGAATTCCTGAACAGAGACTATATCAACTGTTCAGTCAACTACTGGCTCCTTCAATTTTGTAAACAAAGTTTGTCAAGCCAGGCGGTGGCGAAAAGGCCACCCACAGACCAAATTGCGGCCGATGCAGCAGGAATCGGCTGAAATTTGAGCTGTGTATAGCTAGTATTATTCTTTCACTGATCTGAATAGACGAATCTGATTTCCTACTGTTATCATTACATGTTAATAATGCTATTTTCACTGGTTCATTAAATCTTATTGTGTGTTTTTTTTTAGGACAGTTTGACAGCCCCCGCAGGACATGTGCGAACATCCAGCTGGTCTAAGTGTCAGGAAGCCAGCAAGCTCTCTGAGGCGGACATCTTGGACAGAAGAGTGAAGGCTGGGGCTCAGGCTATCTACCAGGTTGGTACATAGATTGTATCTTTACTGCAGTCTCAGATGTTTGTACAATGTATGTGGCATTGAATATAGATCTGATTTTTCTTTCACCCCCCCCACCCCCCTTATAGGTGTTTATTGTCAATGCTGCAAATATAATTTTGTTGGAGCCTGCAAATGACAATAAGATGATGTTAAATGAACATACAGATATGTGTAAAAGAGTCCTTAATATTTATCGCTACATGGTGGTACAAGTCTCCATGGATAAGAAGACCTGGTAATAATTTGTTATTATTCATAAAAGCACACATACTATCAAATGACATGAAAACAGGGTGCATTTTGTTTTTCTTGTTACGTACTGTATATTGGGCCATTTCAACATTTAATATGAGCCTTACCCCAGATGATTTGGACCATTCTTATCCCAAGCTATGTAATTATTACAAAATGTTGGCAACACTCTCAGATTTGATTTCTGGTTCTTTGTTTGAATTTGATGGTATTTGTCAGTGGATACAAAATTGGTAAGCAGCTCCTAACTTTATAACAAACAGGAGAGGTGAATGTTGGATTCAGTGGTTCAATGTTTGGTATTTTTTTCTTTTCAATGAGTGTCAATATTTATCTTTGGATAGAATACATTGATCAGCCATAACATTTATGACCACCCACCTAATATTGAGTAGGTCCCCCTTTTGCTGGCAAAAAAAACGCTGACCCATTGAGACATGGATTCCACTACACCACTGAAGGTATTCTGTGGTATATGGCACCAAGCAGTCATTAGCAGATTTATTAAGTCCTGTAAGTTGTGTGGTGGGGCCTCCATGGATCGAACTTGATTGGATTGAGATCTGGAGAATTTGGAGGCCAAGTCAACACCTCAAACTCGTTGTTATGTTCCTCCAACCATTCTTGAACCATTTTTGCAATGTGGCAGGGCTGATTATCCTGCTGTCATCAGGGAGTACTGTTTCCATGAAGACATGTACTTGGTCAGCAACATTATTTAGATAGGTGGTACATATCAAAGTAACATAGACATTAATGGCAGGTTCTGCTGGCAGGTTTGCCAGCAGAACATTGCCCAAAGCATCACACGGTCTCTGACGGCTTGCCTTCTCCCATAGTGCATCCTGTTGCTATATCTTCCCTAGATAAGAGACGCACACGCAATCGGCCATCCACCTGAAAATGTGATTCATCAGACAAGGCCACCTTCTTCCATTGCTCTCTGGTCCAGTTCTGCTCACATGGCCATTGTAGGCACTTTTGGCGGTGGGCATGGGTCAGCATGGGCACCCCGACTGTTCTAAGGCTATATGTTATGGCTAATCCATGTAGCGTGCTAAGAAAATGTGTTATGAGAGAAAGGGAGTCTTCTGTGTTACTAGTTGCACATATCCAAATCATCCAGGGATTTGTTTTTTTCACTTGCATCCCCTTTACATTTATATATAGTCCATTTTAATTTGCATACTATCAAAAATAAGCCAGAGTCTCTACAGATGGCACATGACTATTGGGTTGATTTATAAAGTAGCAGTATTCCCTTACACATGTGACCTGCCTCTCCTACAGTCATGGAGTTCTCTTCAGTGTTAAGCAGAGAGAAGTCTGCATACTCCAAACCACAGCCTGCATTTTGGTACAATCTGTTTTTATTTGAGCGTTTCAATTCACAGTACAGATCACAATAGACATGCTTACATAGATAACTTCCATAAAACAAATGACAAATGCATAAGTATAAAGGAAAAGGAATTACTCCCCCTGGGGTACATCTGACTGCCCAGGTAAGATATCATATGTCACAGTCAAACCCAGTACCAATGCCTTGGTCCTACTGTTCATAGCGGGTAATGTGCAGGGGTACAAGGTGGACGGTAATAGTTGTAGAGATGGAGTCCACTATCTAAGTACGTGACTTATGTGTCCCCACCTAAGAGCTCTCTGGATGCCGATGTAGGGCCACTCATGAACTCTTCCATCCCGCTGAGGGTCCGAAAATGAGGCTAAAGGATATCAAGGCGCTAGGCCTGGACGCGGGCGGGAGAATCAAGTATCCCGGTTATAACCCCAGCGGGAGAAGAGGAGTGGGTAACGGGGAGCAGTAGGAGAAGGCGAGTAAATTAGACAAAGGAGAGGCATGGGAAAGAAAAGGAGAGAAAGAAAACAGAGGGGAAAGGCAAAGAAAGGGGAGGGGGGCATGGTTACAGAAGATGAGTCCAAGGGGCACAGCCTGCATTTTATGAATGGGGTGTCAAGTGTGGGCCATGATGTGGAGTAAGTTTGTGCTGTATACCAGATGGCAGTATTCACTGCTATTCGCCCCAAGTACCATTCCTTTCTGCCAATCCATTCCCTAGCAGTTAGATAAACACATTATACAATTCAGACTTTAACTTGTCTACACATGTATCTCCCCGGTCTGGCCCCTTATGACATTTCCTCACAATGCAGCATAACCTCTGCTCTGAGCATGATTTCATCTTCTTCATGTCAGTCAATTTGTCTTACTCTCACTCTTAGGAATTCTCATGCATGTTTTAGCATTTTGTTCAGCACCTTTCAACCCTTCACTCTTTGAAACACATCTTTAAAAGTCACATCTCTTAAGGTTCCCATACAACCTGGCCTAAGATATTCTCTTCAGTCACTGATCTAGTACTTTTCCCTCCACTGACCACAGCACACAGTTTCAGCCTAAATGTGTTTTCTCATTCCCTTACCTCTTGTTGGTACCCCTTATTCCTCTACATTGTAAGGTTCTATTTGCTTTAAAGCCTGCCTTGTATTTATTGCATCATGTTATTGCTTTTATATGTGCTACTATACTGTTGTATGCATTAATTACACTTTGCTTTACCCTTGTTTGCAATATTTGCTTCATGCAAACTACATTTGCTATTATATTTTACATTCTAGGCATTTAGTAAATGTTTTTAAATTGTTTTGATTGTATGTGGCAATTTAAACTGGGACTGAGTAGGTTCACAGTGGTGTGAAGTGTCGTTCTAGCATAATAATGGCTTCCCAATATACCAGATTGGGTTTAATTAAACCCATGCCTTTAGGTGAGACAGCTCTGTTTCCTTCTCAGCCATGCCATTTCCATATTGTATAAACCAGCGGTCGCCAACCAGTGGTCCCCAGGCCCCTCTGATGCCGTGCAAGCTGGGCCATCATTCAAGTGGCACGGAGGATCCGGGGCTGCCTCTCACTGACTCAAGCAGCGACTGTCACAAGGAATACGCGGCTCTCAGTACAGTGCGGGCTCTGCAGGAGGCGGGGCATCCCGTCAGTACCCGGACAGAGCAGACTGTGGGACATAGAAAAAGTGGGGCGAAGCTAGGTAATAGTGGCTGTGACGGACCTAGGGCTGCAAAGATTCATTGCTCCGGAGAACTTTGTGTGCTGTGTGTATTTTACAGTTCACTATGTTATCTGGGGAGAGCCGGTCACCATGTGACTTGATGGAAACCATTGTTCCAAAGGCAGCAGGTTGGCTGGAGGGGCCATTGTTAGAGTGATGAGATGAAGCTCCTCTCTAAGTAAGACAATACAATGCGGCACCTAGCTGTCTGGGGGAGGAAACTCTTCCATGTAACAATGAACTCTAATCTGATCTTGTCAGATATAAATTCTGTGGGCTCGGCCTCAATAAAGCAGTTCTTGTTTCACTCCAAAGTCAGTCTTGTCTGATTCTTGGAGTAAGCCTTCCATGCCATAGTCACCGCTTCTGGTTCCAGCACCCAGGGAACAGGCTGAAGACGGAGATATCCAGTCGGGGTATCGGGGAGTCCGTCACATTGGTGGCTAGCGGTGGGATGATTCCCTGTATCTGGAACCTTCAAACCACCACAGGGACCTCATCGGATGGAGATTCTCTACTCTAGTCTTTAAACGGAGCACCCTCAAGGATCTATTGGAATCCCGTGGACAGACAGCCAGCAACAAGTCCAAGTCCACGCTGATTGCTGAGCTCATGGAAGGTGACAGGACCTGCGATCGCGCTAGTGAGCCGACCACAGAAGGCATGGAGATGTCGGAGCTGCAGCGAGATATTCAGTGGCGATTGGCGCTCTATGCAACCACTCCACCGGAAGAAGTGATTACCCGGATCATCGCTGACACTACGCAGCTAAAAATGTTGGAGCTGCAGAAGGCGATGGGGGGCATTGCTGCAGCTGAGCGGGGATGCCATAAGAAACTCCCATATGCAGCATTCCGGTCCTTCCAGGACAGTGCGGAAGAGATCGACCGCTACCTGCAGGTCTTTGAGACCCAGTGTGACCTTCAAGGCATTGATAAAGCAGACTGGGTCACCATCTTAATCAGCAAACTCTCCGGTCGTGCCCTGGATGCTTTTGAAGCTATACCTGGGGAGGACAAAAAGAATTATGAGCGGGTCAAGGAGAGACTGTTGGCCCGGTATGCCATAACTCCTGAGGCACATCGTATAAAATTCCGTAACCTAAGATGGAGGAAAGGCCAGCCCTGCACGGAATGGGCGCATCAGATGGCCCGCTCTGTCGACGCTTGGTTTTCTGGATGCCAAGCAACCACCCTCGCAGATGCCACGCAGCTCATTCTCCTGGAACAATTTTATGAACAGTCCCCCATAGAAGTTCGTGAATGGGTCTGGGATCGGAAACATCGCACAGTGGACAAGGCAGCTGAGCTGGCAGATCAGTACGTGGATGCCCGCAGGACCGCATGCCTGGAGACTCGCGCCGTTCCCCACCACCCATCGCCTGCAGTGACCACTCGGGCCCCAGCACGCCAATCGGTTGCTCCTTCATCCACCCCTTGTACCACCAGCAGCATATCCCCCCCGAGGGTGGCTCCCCGGTGCTATACCTGCAACCAACTTGGGCACATACAAGCCACCTGTCCCCGGAGGGCACCTCCAACTACCTGGACTAGACCTGCTACCGGCACGGCGAGAGCGGCTGCCCATTGTGTTGAGTTTGAGTCAGCATCAAAATCTGCCAACTGGGGAGCTGAGGAATTTGGAGTAATATACGAAGCAAACCCAGTTCAGGCAGCAGCTGACAATCGCCAACATCATCGCCAGGCTGTGTGGATCAACGTGCGGCCAGCCCAGGGATTAAGAGACAGTGGCGCTACTATCACCCTGATTCAGCCCCAGGGGGGGGAAACAACTAATATTATTACTGGGCCGGGGTGGGCGGCACCGCTCCCTCTATCCACCAGAACTGCCACTCCAACAGGCACACCTGCACCTATGTATACAGGTGAAACTCGAATAATTAGAATATCGTGCAAAAGTAATTGCAGTAAGTGCTGCAAAAGGGGCCCAAACCAAGTACTGAGTACATATGCATGCTTGTACTTTTCAGAGGTCCGATATTGTTCTATGTACAATCCTTGTTTTATTGATTGCATGTAATAATCTACTTTTTTGAGGTTGTGGATTTGGGGTTCTTGGGGTTTTCATGAGCTGTAAGCCATAATCATCAAAATTATGACAAATCACGGCTTGAATTATCTTGCTTTGCATGTAATGAGTCTATCTCATATATTAGTTTCACCTTTTTAAGTTGCATTAGTGAAATAAATGAACTTTGCACGATATTCTAATTATTCGAGTTTCACCTGTATATGTGTATATATATTGTATGTATATATAGATATATTCTCATATCTTTTGTTTCCTCATATGTAAATATATTCTCATATGTGTGTGTGTATCGATCTATCGATAGATAGATAGATAGATAGATAGATAGATAGATAGATAGATAGATAGATACACATATGAGAATATATTTATATAAAAGTAAATAAAAATATGAGAATATATCTATTTAAAGGGATTTAAAATTATGAATTTAGTGGTCCATGAGGTCCGAAAGGTTGGCAACCGCTGGAATAAACAAAGGATGGGTAGACTATTTCTCTTTGTTTGTTTTGATGGCATTTATACATTCCATTTCAAGATGTTCAGTTGCCTTTTCCCATAAAAACACTGGTCTCTGTTTGTTTCATGCCTTATCCAGGATGCAGCTTTTACTGGTCATGCTGAGAGTCACAGAGTCCGTTCTGAAGGTCCCACAACAGGTTCTTCAACAGTTCCAAGGCAGGAAAAATCAGATTTTGGCTGGACGTCTGGCAGGACCCTTGTTTCAGGCATGTGTTAACTGGGAAGAAGGAATCTGAAGCCTCTAAACGTTGGGGAGGTTTTGTAGAGAAGTAGAAGGGCTGTAGCACTTACCTTTCCTGCAGATAATGCTGTTCTAGTGCTGCTGGTCATCTTAGGGTTTTGTCACATAATTTTGGTTAAAGAGGAGGATCAGCCAATCTGATCTCTGATCCTAGATCTTTAAGAGAGACCACATGGCCAAATGTCTTGACTTGCATCCAAGTAGTATGGAAGGGAACACAGAGCAGCATTTCCTCCAGTTAAGTGTTTCAACTTCTGTTCTGTTCTTCTTATGCATTAGGATAGAAACCACACTATTTTTTGATAACTCCCATAAAAAAAATCTCTCTGCTATATTTCCCATCTGTTTCTGTTCGATGTTTCCGCTCACCTTTGCTTGTTCCAGCACTTCCTGATCTATTCTTTAATAGAACAAAAAAAAAATGAATAACAAAAACAAAGAGAGTGGGAACCCTTATTATAGAGTGTACAGATATCCAGACACAGGAACGCAAGTGCAGAGATCTAACTAACTGCGAGTTATAAGACACACAGATGGTTTAATCCTTCAGCATCTACCAGAAGGTAAAATATATTGTTTTTAAAGTGACATTAAACCCTCAGATTTTTTAACATAAACAAATACTGTAATGTGTACCTTACTGTAATCCATGGTAGTTTCCTTTCTCTTTGCTGCTCTTCCTTTTAAATCTGTATCTCTTATCATGCTTGGGGAGAACTTCCATTTGCTGGCTCAGGTTGTGAACCTGCACACAGACACCATGTATCCATTTCAGAGACAAGGCAGTCTGCTGCAAAACAGAAGTTCTGCCCAGCATGAGAAGAGATACAGATTTAAAAGGAAGAGCAGCAAAGAGAAGGGAAACAACCATGGATTACAGTAAGGCACACATTACAGTATTGTTTTATGTTAAAAACCTGAGGGTTTAATGTCACTTTAAATGAAATGCAATTCCTACCTGTATCCCAATCTCATTTCAAAGCTCTAATGTCCCTAGCCCTGAGTGAGGGATTATCTACACAGGCATTTTTTTATGTATTTGACACATTACAAGTAAAAAAGAGTGGCTGCTGAAGCTGACGTTTTTTAACTTCAATATATTGTCTCCCTTCTTAAACAATTGAGCTTTCTGTAGTAAAACCTTGCTACAGTAATTTGGGATGGAATGTTGTTTGTAAGCACCAACATGTCATTACTGTAATTTTGGTAAAAATACTAACCTATCAAAATGTGATGATTAATAAAAAATAAGTTTGTGCCTTAGAGACATTTGAGCCATCCTTGATCCATCCAGTTTTTTTTTTTACATCGGCACATTAACATACAAAGTAATCATCTTTCATGAGTCTAGTGATCAAGTGAATTGTTTATTTGGTTCCCTTAAAACAGCCTTCATATTAACATATTTTTAATTACCCATCAGACACTGATTGTGGCCTGGATCAAGTCAAGTCTTCATGTTAGTGTTTCTCGAGAGCTATGGGATGATCTATTGGCAGTAATGTCGTCTCTGACATACTGGGAGGAGCAAGCCACTGAATGGGCTCACACCATGGAAACATTGACCAAAGTTCTGGCCAAGAATGTCTACCATCTTGATCTGAACGAGCTGCCACTGGACAAGTTGAGCGAGCAGAAGCAGAAGAAGCACAAGGGCAAAGGTTGAATATGTGCACACTACCAGCATGACACCTATAAGTGATGTGCATTAATCATAACAGCTAATCAGTGTCAAGGGTTATTAGTCTGACTAACCTAAAATAACCTGAACTTGCATGATAGATTGCAATGTACTGTGACACTTTTTTGCTTTTTGCACCCAGCTCTATATGTAATAATTTACTTATTTAATAGCTTTTTGCTCTCAGCTCCATATGTTATTGTGTGCTAATTTTATACTGCAGTAATGATTAACTTTGGTATATAGAAATAAGCTTGGTAATACAAATGCTTACAAATGCTTACTTTATTTACTACTCTCATCTTCTTTTTTTTTTATTATTATTTAATGCCCTATAGGAGGCAGCCATGAATTCCAGAAGGGATCTGTGGACAAGTCTTTTTCTCGAGGGTGGAGTAGAGAGCAGCCCGGGCAGGCACCCATGCGCCAGCGTAGTGCCACCACCACAGGATCACCTGGCACTGAGAAAGCCAGGAGCATTGTGCGCCAGAAAACCATTGGTATGACACCTGCACAACTCGTTTCATGACTCCATTGCTCATAACAATCCATATCCCTCTTTGGTTGCCTGATTTACTATCTAGTTTAAATATTGAAAATCGTGCTGTAATGTATACGAGCAGTCGACAAGTGTTAGCATGTGTGTTGAAGAGCTGGTGTATACCGTCATTTTTTATTAAAAACAAAAACAACAAACTATACATTGTGATGGCTGAGCTCTAAAGTCTTAGCGCCTTTGTGTTTTGGTAGCCAGTGTGTGCTAGACAAATGAAGCACCATAGTCTGATTGGGCCCTGATGGGAGCTGCTGTTTTCAGGCTAATGTACTGCATATTCGTTCTGGCCAGTTACTTGGTAAATTAGATTAGGTTTACCTTTCCAGAAATGGCATTTGACACACAGATCATGGAATGCCTGCTTCCATCAGAGCTGAATAATATACTTGTTAAGTTTTTAGCGTGAACAGTACAAAAATTTTCATGATGCATAGATTTAGAACTTATTCTTATGTAAACTTCAGATGGTGAATATTACAGCTCATAGCTTCTAATAAATTAAAAGGTTTACTTACACTGTGGTGTTTATTTCGGGTAACTATGCTCTGACCAGTCCTTAGCAAGCACAGCAGATAGATAAGACTAGATGGATTCTGTGTTGAGTGCAGCTTTCACCTTATGCCCCAACTTCATGTGATAAACACGACAAAAAAATAGAGCATGCTGTCTTCATCCTCCTTTAGCATCTATCAAAGCGTCCTGTGAGTTTGGGGTATACATATGGTGGTGTGCTTCTCACAATTCTGTCTCTTGCTGTGTGTTAGCATAGCAAACCTACTAGTCCTCATATAGAAGTTCAGACAACCGTCAATAAAAAAACATATTATTTACAATGATAAAGGCTGCCACTGAACAAGCTGAGGAAACGTTAGTGTTTTGTCTATGTGCATTGCTTACTAGGCACTGTGTTCAGAGTTGTTGCTAGAAAATACATTGGTCTTATAAAGCAAGCCAATGGGGAGAAAAATACTAAGCAAGCAGCACGACCTAATAGTTGACTGATAGTTGTCCCTCACGTGCCACCTGAAGAACGTTCACTATTACCCCATTTGCTGCTGGTGAAAAAAACATGCAAAGCCACATCCTACAATGTAGTCCTTGGGGCCCACGTGACTTATATCCAGACCTAAGCATTGTTACAGTAATATGAGGGGGTCGTACACATAAGTATTCAGATAGCAACCATAAGAATGTTGGTTGGACAGGTAGTGGCTGCATAGAGGGTGTAGGAGATCAGCAGCACTGCAATCTAGCAAAAGGATAGAAAAAAGTATTTTGTTTAAAAAAAAAAGGAACTAGCACACATTTAGCAAGGTAAATGTCATTAATTTAGGATTTACATCTACTTTAACTTCTGCATTCTCCAAGTGGCACAGGTGGGACAAATATTGAGGTTGTGTGCTGGATAGTTCATTCTGTCAACTCTTAGATCCAGCTGTTTAATTCTCTTTTTTCCTACTAGGTTTTCTATAAGGAAGCGTTGCATTGTTCATATAAACAAAGTTAACTTTGGCAGTAGAAGGTTAGCTAGAATCTGACTGGCTGCTATCACTTTTTCCCTTTTACACTTTCTTTTTTTTTTTTAATAAACCCTTATATGTGCTATGCATCTGTCAGATGATACCATTTATCTCTGTAAAATTCATAAGGCCGTTTCTAGTAAAGTTGCTCTGCTCTGTCCAGGAATAGGAAATGCACTAAATGAAGGGAAGGCTTACTTTTGCAAGTATTGTATTAGGTTTAAAGCATACACATTGTTTGTTTATTGCCAACAAAATGACAATAGATTACAGGTAATTACTGTATGCATACAGTATGGTGGAGGTATAAGATGAGTGAATAATGGGAGAAGTGAGAAGAGGAAATGGAGAAGAGGAAATGGGGAGAGAAGAAAACAAAAAAAGGGGGGATGATAAGTCACCGGATGTTTTGATGGATAATAATGAGGCTTAATGATGTAAGAGTATGTTATCCAAGGTTGTAAAACCATTAAAAGTTTTCCATGAGCCTCATTTAAAATTGCAGTTAATTTATCCTATACCATCTATTCAGCTTTTAATAGTTATAAATGTTATATTTGCAATACCTAACACCTTTCCAGGAAACAAACTCTAGCTTTCATAAATTGTATATGTGTTTGTGTTTTCTCTACACAGAAGAAGATGTCTAGAAGGGGCCTATGAAAAAAAGGGTCATTAAAATGTTTCGTGTCATAGCAACCAGTCCGATTCTAGCTTTCCAGGCCAAGTTAGAAAATCAGATTTTAGACTTGGTCACCAATATGTCTTGCTGAACCCTTGGCCTCACTCCTTAGTCATTAAGTCAGACCTTCTGACCTTTTACACTTGTTCTGGGTCTGAAACTCACTATATATCATAGTCACGGAGCTAGCAACATCTTAAAGTCGACCTTGCATGATAGTGCTAGGTCCGCTATCTGGAAGGAGTCCCCCACCATGATTAAAAAACGCTCCGTGAAAGGCATAAACAATATTGAAAAAAAAAATGTATAAAATACTTCCGCCTTTAGAGAGCTAGCCTAGGCAGGGGTGCTATCACTGGGCCTTCTCATTGGATTTTATCTTACATCCAGCTTCAGCAGGCTAGCCAAGGCAAGGGTGATGTCACTGGGCCTTCTTATGGGATCCTGGAAAAGCTGAGGACCCTTAATCACCTGCGAATGTGTGCATACATAATACCTGAGTTTTTTGTGTTTTTTTTTTTTGGTGAGTTTTGGGTTTCCCAATGCTTAAGCCTGTGATGTCACCTTTGCATACAGAAATCATCACACAAAAGCTTTTATTTGTTTTGGTTTTTTCTTTTTGCTGAGCGTTTTTAAATCAGGGTGGTGGCTAACTAGATAAGTGGATGTTGTGTTTTCATGCAAGGTCAACAATTAGAAAGTTGTCAATGACACCACATATAATTCTATTGTGACAGGTTCTTTAACATATAGAGAGATGCAAAAGACTGGAATGAAGTTGGTTGCAGTTTACGGCCCTTTAATTTCTTTCTTCCATTGTTTACTACAGAGCTAACTGTAATAATTTGTTAGGTGTAGTAAAGTAGATGGTATGACATGTGTCTTAGTGTCACACATATTCTTATTATTAAGTTATTTTGTAAAATTATCTCCCCATTTATATTGATTTAATTGTGACAATTGCACAGACCTTAGATATTACAAACTTGCAAATACAAAGCCTTAGCGTTTGGGTTCGGAACCTATAGTCTTCCTCAATTACCACATTTGCTTATTTGTATGTGTGTTGTGCTTCATTGTGATATTACTGTTTGAAGTATGTCTGTTTCTTTTTTATGTTTAGCCTGTGTCTTTGCTCAGCTGTTGATTGTGATCTGTAACATCACCTCCATATTACTGTGCCTTTTGTATGGAGCACACACTCTCCACTTGCATATTGTCACTTTCTGCCTGCTTCTTGTGGTTTTGCTGCACTCATCAGTCACTTCTCTTTCCTCTCCGGTCCCTTTTCTCCCCGATCTCTCCTGTCTTTCTGTCTTCTTTTTTTAAAGCCATGAGGAGCCGATCCATTGGGGACAGTGCCCTGCCATCAGCCTCTATCCGCAGCGCTAAAAGTGCACCTGTCCTGATTCATCCCTCCAAACCCCTTCTGCCTGATATTGTTCTCACTCTGCTTTCCGATGAGCTGTCAGGTAGTGGCATCTCTGTCTGCGCACATACTCACTGTCTGCAGCCCCTTTAACCACACTGAATACAGATGACCGTTGAAATTACCTCTCTAACTTCTCACTGCTGTGCACGTTCCCTTATTACTTATTCTATTGGCTTTAGCTCAGAGATCCTCAGTTGTACAAAAATATTTCTAATAGATAGTCTTTGGTTGTGGTTCAGATGTCTCTAAACAGCTCTTACACTCTTTAAATCTCTCTGGACGTACATACTTTGACAACATGTATTCTCTTTTGCATGGATGACAAAACAAAAATGAGCAGTTGAAAATGGATGGATCAAAATAGATAATGTCTTAATTTTGTCCATCCTGGCAGCCATCCATCGTGTATGTCCCACTTTCCCCTCATTCATTCCTATACTTTTGTTTTAAAAATGGAAATAGAGAGATAGAGAGAGACAAAAGAAGTTATTGTGTTGAAATAAAGAGGCAACAGTTTGCCCAAAGCACATGTTTAGCAGACATTTATCGCAAGACTCTCTGCTTTTTCTATAGTAATAGCTGTTAATGGTCTGTTAAAGTTATCCTGGCACAAACATGGGCTATTTGAACTTACATATGATGACAAATCCATTTATAGGGTTTACCTTTAGTGAAAACCACCCCTTAAACCCCTGGTAGGTCCGGAGAGAGTAAAACTGTATATAAATCTATATATGTATATATTTATCAAAAGGTTTATCTTGGCCCACCCCAACCACTTTCTGAGCCCCTGTTTTGGTTAATATTGCTGCCTATAATATTAAAGAACCAACACAGGAAGGCAAGGTTGGAAAAGGGCTGATAAGGGATAACTTCTTTTGGTGACTGAGGTAGTAAGGTTCTCTGCTGGGAAAATCATTGAACTTTATTACTAAATTTATGTGAAATAAGACATCTGAACTACAGCTTAACCAGCTTTTTGCAGTTATGTTGCATTATGATTTTATATTTTGGTTTCTATAAAGAGTTATTCTTATTTTTGAGTTAACCATGCCTGGGAATGTCTGACCTAATAGCATTCTGCACTATTTATAATGTTGTGTAGGCACTAATATCAGTGCTAGGGAATTGCTTATTGCTTGATGTTTGTTTTGTTGAGCGTAACTTTTTTTATTCTAGCATTTACAAATGGAGTTCTGACTACTGTATCATTTTTTGTTCTTTCTCACTGATTTGCATTGGTTTCTCCTGACTGAAAATACGTAGTCTAGTCTTATTACCATTTTTCTAATTCCCCAATCTTTTTGCCCATTTGATGTCTTATCCCATATTGATAGGTGTCAGAACTTTGCCCTGCTATTCTTTCTTTTGGCTGAAAGTTCAAAGTAAATTTAGCTGGTGGTGGACACATGAACACATTCAGCATGGACAAATGTTTGTTAGGTCAATAAAAAGGTTTGGGGTGGAGGAGATTGGTGGTAGCACACAATACTGGGGCTATTTATAGGAAGGGATCCTAATAATCAGATTTGCTTGGACCATCTCCCCAGAGAGCCATCAGCCTAAGATCATGCACAGGGCATATAGGCATTAGATTCTTGCTGAATAGAACCTCCCTGCAACTGCAAAGCCAGGACCTCCTGCAAACTACCTAAGCTTTCATATTTGGTTCCCCATTCATGGCAGTCATTATATGTGGCTTTTATAGGCTGTGTTTCCAGTATTTGAAAATTAGTGGTTTGTGTAGTCTTATCGCTAACATAGTATATATAATACAGTACAGTCAAATGGCTATAGCTCATCTAAAAAAAATGCCCCTAGGATTCCTTTGGAATGACGTTGTAGCAAAGGTCAAAATAATTATTTGAACCCTGGTTATGTAGTGCATTATTAGCTGTAATTATTAACAAGTTATTACTTAACTGCTAATCTGTTTTGGTTCAGCCTGAAGGTAGTTTTGTGTCTCTAGAACAGTAGACAGTTAACAGCCAAAGTAAATATACTGTATAGATAAGAAAGGGTTTGGGAGAAGTGGATAAAAAAAATTTCATGTTTCCATCTAGCTGGAGCTGTTATCTGCTACTTTTAAAGTCCCTTTTTTAAGTCAGTAGGGAATTCTACCACTTGGCATGTTGTGAAGCCTGTGGTTTTCTTTAGTATAGTCTCTGCATTACATAGCAGGGTATACCCCCAGATAGGAGAACCTTGTCACATGACCGGTCATAATCATCTGATGGGGTTCCTCTTCTTGGCATTCCCCTCCCTTCTATTTATTATTTATTTAGAATTAATGGGGAGATGCCTTCTACAGAGTCCCGCAGCAAGTGAAAAAGAAAGCATGTTTGTTAACCATACAACCGGTACAGTAGAAGTGTGTCTGAGGCTCTTGTATTTTAAAAGCTGCAATGTGGCCTCAGTAAGGCCATACCACTGCTTTATAAGTTGGATTTTTTTTCCAAGCTTTAGATAAAAAAAACTTTCATGTTCCCATCTTTCCCATAGTCATATTCATGTAGGATCCCTGTATTACAAAATGTAAACATTTACATTTTGCTAAATAATGGAGCAAAAATTAAGGATGCAGTACCCGTGTAATGCCTTCTGAGATTAAACTTTCCTGCAGTAGTACTTGGTAGAGTTCACTAAAAGTTCCACTTTTGCAGTGAAAATCGAAACCTGCACCCCACTCTGTTTATGTGTTTTCTGTTCTCACAACATACCTAAAAATATATATTTTTTTACTATTTTGTACCTTTTGAGATGTTTCTTTGGAGCAGCACCAGATTTTAGGCTATTATGAGCAACAGAGAAGAAGGTTTGGGGTGGAGGAGATTGGTGGTAGCACAGAATGCTGGGGCTATTTATAAGAGGAAGGGATCCTAATAATCATATTTGTTAGGAGGACATCCTAGGGGGACATAATTCCTCTCATTAGCTTATAATACCCTGAGATTTTTAGCCCTTTCTGTCAGGATAGAATGTTCTGCCATCACAGAACAGACAGGGTTAATTAATCCCCCGCTTGCTCTTTAACGTTACATAGGAGGAAGTTACGTAGGATTTTTAAGCAAGTAAAAAGCACTTACAAAGTAGGTATGATATGTCAACGGGAACATAATGGACACGTTTCAGTTGTAATCTGAAGACAAGTTTTATGCATCAGCTTTGGCTCCATCTGCCTTCCTATGCATGCTCCTCTATTTTACAGAATCCTCTGTACTAACTAAAGACTACCTAACACTAACTCCTATCCTGATTACCCCCAGAGAAAATGAATACCGTTGGGCTAGTGGGATTTTTGTAATGTTCTGTGTAAAAAGAAGTTGAAAACAGTTTGCTCTTTTTTTTTTTTCTAGTATTACAGTCAGTGTTGAATCAACCTATTTTAGTTTAGACCTCTTTTTACACAGATGCTAAATGTTAAGCTAATGCTATTGTTTCCTTAAAAATGTGCTGTTCTTTCCCAGTTTTAAAGGACAACTCCAGCAAAATGTAATGTTTTAGTTTTGGTAATTGCACTAGTGGGCTGACTTTAACTCATACACACTCCATTTACAAAGGTTACCCAGAGTTATTTATTTTCTTTCCTCAGGAGAATTCTCATGGCACGATCATTTGGCTTTGTAACGGCTATGGCAGGTGGTTGGGAACTGGGATTGGGGAAACTTGCCTCTGGAGTTACATGCAGATATAAAAAGCCAGCATGAAATTCGGCTTACACGTAAACACAAAAAAATTAAGTTTTAGCTGGAGTTGCCTTTATTCAATGTAACACAATTGTATCCTTGGTGGATTTCTAATTCCTGTTCTCTCTTGATTGACAGAAATGGAGGATGCCCCAGTGCTTCCCCGTGCACAACGGGTAAGACATTATTCTCAGAGTGAAGAGACCCCTACGGAGACCTTTGGAGCCATTCATGAAGAAACCACAACTCTGCCTCGCAGTAGCAGCACCTCCGACATCGTGGGGCCCTTTGCAGCTGAGAGACTGAAAGGTGCAGTGCCTGTTGCAGACCGTCCCTCCCCTCAGACTTCGGATCCCTTTTGTGCTAACCCACACTGTCAGGAAGCACCCCTAACACAGGCCGATGGCAGTATTTATGATCACCTTTGCCAATTGGCTGGCTCAGCTGGATTGACAGATGCAGACATTGAGCAGGGATGGTATGAGGAGTTAGAAGGCACAGATTTTTTGCCACGTTTAAGAGCTTATTTAAAAGAGGAAGGGGTAGAAAGAAATAAGTTGATATCCATGTCTGTGGATCATAAAACAGGGCATTCTACAGAGTCAGAATTATGTGTTAAAGTGGAGGTCCATTCAGTCTTATCCGAGGGGCTTCCTTGCACACATTCCAATGTTCAACATACTGAGATTACTGCAGGATTAGAAGAACACATCCCTAAAAGAATAGGGGGGTTAAAGGTTGGTGGTAGGAGCAGGGATGTCCATGTAAGAATTCTGGCTGATGGGGAAATTATTGACAGCGATAAAACTTGCACGGAGCAATGTGACCGGAAAAGAGCTTTTTCTAGAACGCAAGCTACCGAGGAAGATGAAGCTCTTGAATTGCCATCTTCTCAATCTCACCACAGTGAACATGGGGCCAACATAAAGCATCTGTGCGAGTCTGTGACACATAAGGCTAAAGCAATGCGCCGGAAACGCAGCAGTGTTCAGGTCTCCTTCCGCCCAGGCACTGAGGCAGTGCTCTTCTGCAATTCCATGGAAAACAAAGATGCCCCTTGGAAGGCCAGGCTACGGAAGTTAAGTGGTTTAAGTTCAAACTCTTCCATTGTAGTAGATCCAGGCAAGCCTACAGCATTTGCAGCTATAGGGGCAGTGAGATTAGCATCTGGAATTAGCCAGACAGATAGTGACCAAACTGATGTAACTTATCCTCCCGCTCAAGTGCAGAAGGAAGCTGGCCGCACAAGGCCGAGGTCTAGCAGTCAAGAAAGAGCCCCTTCTCATGCTTCTTTAGGAGGCGTATATAAAACTGTTGTCCATGCTCTCTCGAAACCTAAGGCCAGCGTGTCCCTGCAGAAGCAGCACAGGACGGCAGCCGAGGCTCCACTGAAGGACCTGTACGGTCATGTTATGGGCTATTTTGGAAGGAAGGCAGCAGGTGAGATCCTTCAGCCCTGGGATGCATTCCCAGAGTACATGCAGAGACGCAACACCCGTTTGGCTTTGTATTGCAGACGAAAAAACCCCAGCTGCCAGCAATCAGGAGCTTCTTTTGGGATGACTTGCTGCTTATTCTTCACCCAATTCCTCGTTGACACCCTCTCTGGGATCTTTGCATGTTGTCTCCCTTGTGGCTGATATAACCTTTTCTCAAAGTGTTGCCCCTTACCTTTTACAGCAATTCTGCTTTCTGTACTAACCCCCTCCCTGTGAGGTGAGTGCTGCTGTTTCATAGCTAATGTGTTTTGTTTCTTGATGGCTAGGGATCACTTATGTTCAGTGTTTTGTCCTTCAGTCATTTGTTTTGTCAGCAGTAGCTTGTCAGATACAGAATGAATGTGAAGCATTTCATTCTTGTTAACAGATCACAGTTGACTCATAATCACATCGCTAAAACAGTTGTTTTATGTGTTTTTTTGTGACATGCTTTATATTCTTTGTAGCCTATGCTTTCACCTGTGTACAACTGGCTAGAATAGGAATACAAACATGGCAACAGGTTGTAAAGTTCAAAGCGTAGTGCACTGGTCCTTCAGATGCAGCCTGCAGGAGTACAGTGTAAGAGAACATGCATGGCTCAATATAAGGAGCAGTGCTGTCACAAGGGGGGTGCGACTCGCACCAGGTGACACCATCAGAGGGGGCGACACCAAAATGACCGACAATCACCCAACTTAGAAACGCCTCTGATAAGAAGATGTCTAAGGCTGTCAGCATTGCTAGCAAATACTGATCAGTGTAGTGAACATGCAAGAAATAGTGATTGTAAAGGATGAAAGTACTCCACATCAGTTGCAACAATCATCCGCTATTCTGGAAGATAGCTGCATTTAATTAAGGATTACTATCATTTCTGGAAATGGAGTGATCCTTTTTTTTTTTTCCTTTAACCACATGATGAAACATCATTACAAAATATGTTTTGTATGTGTAAGCAAATAATGATCAGGTCAGAAACACGCTTCCATTGTTTATGTAAACTTGCAGCATAGAAGTTGACAGCACTGTGTTCTTTAACTGTAATAGCATTAGAGTGGACTATCACACTTATATGAACTTGTTGGACATCCCATTCCAAAACCATGGCCATTAATATGCAGCCCTCACCCCCCCAGTTGTGGCTGTAGCGGCCTCCTTTTTCCATGAGATTTTGTAGCATGTACAGTAATTTTTGCTCATTCCACCACAAGAGCATTTGTGAGGTTATGTACTGATGTTGGATAAAAAAACCTAACTCGCAATCGGCATTCCAGTTCATCTCAAACATGTTCAATACAGTTGAAGTCAGGATTCTGTGTGAAGACCACTTAAGTCCTCCACACCAAACTTATCAAACCTTGTCTTTGTGGAGCTAATGGGGCACAGTCATGCTGGTATAGAAAATGGCCTTCCCAAAACTGTTCCCACAAGCTTGGAAGTTCACCATTGTGTAAAATGTATTTTTGGCTATTGAATTAACAGTGCCACTGGAAACTCTTGAAATCAATAATTTAGAAGGAGTTCCACATACTTTTGGCCATATAGTGTAGCTGTTTGCCTGGAGTGTAGCTTTGTACAGTATATTCAGGATGAGCTTTTCTTGTAAAAAATTTCCTTAGACTTTCTGGATTCTATTATACCATTACAGTGAGTTTCTGAAAATGCTCTGTAGAGGTTTCCAGGCTCTGGGGGAGGTGCAGTAGGCACAATTATATACCTATTGGCAGAAATGGGATAAAAACATTTTTGACAAATTTTAATCCTGTAATGTTTATAATATATATCATTGGAACATCAACTTTATATGTGGCCAGTTCTCTTTTGTAATTCAGCTATGTATTCCAGTTTAGTTATTGGATAGGATAGTTAGTCCTTTTGATTTGTAATAACTTATTACTGAAGTTTACATAAACAACAGTACAAAAGTATTCTCAGGCCATATTGTCAGCATCATCAGGCAAATCACAGACACGTGTTAGAACTGACATTGTGCCAGTTTGCTGTGTGGTTTCCATTGACATGACACTTAACTGTGAGTTTGTGCTGGCATTTGTGTTACTGTTGTATTAGAGTTTGTGTGTCTATGTGGGAATGCTGGTATCTGGGAATCGATAATCTGGTTGAAGTAATCACTGCCTGTAATCTGCTTTCCTGAGAAAATGGTCCTGAGAAAGTTTTTTCCCCCTCTCTTTACCATGCTGTGTATTTGGCCGGAATACATATATATTCAAAGTGAGGCTTCAGATTTGAACAAATGTCTCTCCTGTCAATGGACATGTGCCATGCAATTTTCACAGCTACAAAATGTTCAAGCAATAACCAGGTACTGTGTGAGTTAGTTATTGAGTAGTAGCAATGTGGCACGGGAGTGCTGCACAGTCTGAGGAATCTTGCAGGGTGTTGAAAAGTTTTTGTAGTTGGAACAGAAGCTCATTCACAAGAAATCCCTTTTTATTAAAGAGCAAGGAATGATCATTTGTACTGCTCATTTGATAGTATCGCTTGATGTGGACCTTTTTAATGGTGCATTTAAATGAGCACATTGATTATGCATATCAGAAATTTCAATGCATATTTGTCCTTGTAATATGCTTTGTTCAGACAAGAGTATTGTGGGAGTGAAAAAACAACACAAAATAATGCACCCCTGTGCTTTAGTTTGTTTTTCTTAATAGGAATGTATAGTGGGTTTTTTTATGTTTTCTTTATTTTTTTGTAATGATCAGGGCTAAAAAAATATTTTTTAAAGATATAATGAATGTATATTTTGATCAGGTGAACATGAAATATTGCACATTAATATTTTGTATTCTTGTATTCCGCTGGTAGATAGAGAGATCAGCTCTTGTTCATTTGTTTGCCAGACTATCCTTAGCTCCCCTGTTGGAAAAAAAGCCGGTTGTTTACAGAATTCTGTAGCTCAAGATACCATTACAAAGTTGCACTCAAAACTGTAACCCAGAGCAGTAAATACAAACAGAAAAAAAGCTTCCAACACACCGGATTCCGCTGGAATAGTTTATTGAAGCTTGTATCACACCACTGCTGTCCCGCTCAAGGACGTGCTCGCAGTGTCAAGCACCCAGCTCTTTCTTTTCCTGAGCCGTGGAGGAGCAGTGCTTCTTTTGTGTGTTCTCCTTGCAAAAGAGCAGTAAGTGTCCTCCTACCAGCCAGCTGTGTGGAGATTACCTACAAAGTTTTAGTGAGAGAAAGTCTAAATGTAAACAGCTTTTGGTGTTCCTTCTCTTTAGGAAACCTGTAAATAACTGTGAATCATGTGCCCAAGTGTTTGGTTATTAAGCCTTGTGTACAGATAGTCAAACATGTGAACACCAGTTTAAAAAATACATGAAATTAAAAATATAACCCAGACTCAATATATTTTACCTTTAATAGAAATGGAGAAAATTCAGTTATAGGAATACTTGACTTTTCCCTTTCCTTTTTAGCATTTGTTATATATTTTATCATTATAGCCTTTCAAGAGTTCATTGGTGGTATATGCTGTTAATGCTAATGCCACAATACATAGAAGGGTAGAAGGGCCAGGCAAAACCATATATCTAAGGACTACTTTACTCAGCAGGCTGATTCTGCAAACACAGTAACTCATTAATTGTGGTTTCCCTTGTACAAATGATGGACTGATAGATTCACATGAATTTTAAAAAGATCACATGAGCAAAGTCAGAAGACACTGCCTTTATTGTGGCTACTTAGAGTGTAAATCTATGACCGTGGAGGCATTGTGCTGTCACATCATGCTTCTTCTGGTAATTATTTGTTAAAGCCCCATAAAGCTAAACACACAAACTCATGGGAATGAAATAATATCCCCTGTAACACAATGCTTTATTAGGCTCCTTGTTGTGTAAACCTAGTGTAGGGTATCTAAACCCAAGAAGTTAGTTCAAGTGTTGATGGTTTTGGTGTTAACACTGTACAGACTTCCTTTCAAGCTGCAATGTTGTAATGGATATATTCCCCCAGCCACTTCCTCTTATAGAATTGCCTTGTAGGATTTGCCTGCAGGCATATCGTTGTCATTCTTGTTAGGGACTATAGGATTATGTGCCATCAAAATGTGATGACAACCTCAATTGCCATTACTAGCAGGGAGATGTTTAAATACGGTCAAAACTATATTATGGAATTTGTAGTTGGGAAGATGCATTGCACATGTTTTAATTTTGCTTTAATGTGTGCCCTCGGGTACCTGCACTGAAAGTTCATGACAGGCTGGTACCAAGAATAATAAGCAACTCCAGGCAAAAAGAGTTTCTAAAACCATTAAATAAAGCAAAATTGCGATGATGATTACCTAATTGAGCTTCTGTACTGGGTGAAGTTTAGGGTAGGCTAAAAGTATAACGAAAGATAACTTATCAGATTTGGAAAAAGTGGTGATCGGTTAGAGCCCCTGTTGGGTTTTTCTCGCTGCCCCGATCACCAGTGTCATGGGAATGAAAGTTGCAACAAGAGTAATAAAGAAAAAATAATCCAATAGGGACCCTTGTTTCCATGACAACTGTCTAAGAGGGGATTTCCATCACATTTGAAAGATTTCTTCTTGCCTCCTATGAGTCTAGAGGACAGGAAGTAAAGGGAAATCTCCCAAATGAGATGCAGAGAAAAAAAACTGATACATGAGGAGGTAGCTGTGTGGGGGTGAATAAAGTTAGAAAGCTAGCGCAATAATAGTGTTTTATCCATGATTTGTATTGTGCATGTGTGGTGTGTGGTTTGTATGGTCTTAACTCTTTGTATGCTGAGCCTTGTGCCACTCCATCGATTATATGTGTTGCTTGTATTACTTGCTTTTTGTAGAGATTCCGTGGGCTGCATTGGATCATATGTGATTGAAGTGATGCAGTGCCTTTGTGAAACTTTGCACTATACAAAGCATTGAGAAAATGCTATATTGGTGTGCTAGCTTTCCTACCTTTTAATAGAGCCATG